CCCCGTCGACCCCGGCAACCCCTTTTCCGCGAACTCCACGTGAGTCGTGAAACGCCATCATCAAGCATTCATAACGTGTAGCGGTGTGTTTATCAGAGGAGGCTCCCTTCAGCCACCTTCTTTTTCTCGGAGCATCTTCTCTGGCGAAAGAAATGCGCTCGTAGCAAAGACGTTAGAAATCAGATGTATGTAAAGAAATATTCAAATGGAACAATATGTACATGATATATATGTATAATATTTATATAATTTAAAATAATATAAAAATATCTATGTCTCTCACAATTATAGGTAGAGAATCGCATCGCCATTTTTTTCAAGTCAAGCGTTATTGAGAGTTGTATTATTAAGCATGTGTCAGTGAAATTAAATTACTTTATTAAAAACTCAACATTTTCTCATAAACTTTGTAATACTTTCATAAACTTTGAGTAAATAAAAGAATAATAATTCTCATAAACTTTGAATCTTATCTCATTTGAGACAACTTATCCTGAACGGTCATTTTGAACAAAGAAGATTATATTTATAAACTATGTTGCAATAACGGTTAACTAAAAATACAGGACAAATTATCTAAAACTATTAATATTTCTTATGACTAAAAAGAAATTGCGACTAGTAATTCTAAAAACGGGACAATGAAAATAGAGAAAGTAAGAAAAATGTACTCACGACCTCCAATTTTTAAAAAGTGCTCGTAAATATCATCCGACACAATAGGAGCAAGCAATACTAGAAAATATTCCACTCAATCTATTAAGTGAGATATAAGCTTTGTGACAACTGTGTAACTCGTGTGACTTACGGCCCCTACTATAATAAATCTACTTGAAATAAAAGCGAAAAAATCAATAGGTAGAAATCGCCGAACCACATTGCCCAATATAAAAAAAATTTAGAAGAAAACTTGCGAACCCCGGGAAGTCTTTCGAGAAATACGTAATGAAACACTAATACCTAAAAAAAATTTAGAAGAAAACTTGCGAACCCCGAGAAGTCTTTCGAGAAATACGTAATGAAACACTAATACCTGTTTAAGCAGGTATTAGTGTTCCATATAACTTCACGTAAAACCTTTGTTGGCAACCCTATATAGATAATATATGAAGAAAGAGAGAGACAAACAGTCGAGAAATAGAGAAAAGAGAAAGATTTACACTGTAAAATGTTAAGTATATATATATATATTAAAAGATGAAATTTAACCCAATATGTCTTCAATTAAATAACAAAATATTTTTTATAATTACCACGTGTGTCGAAATTTATTATTTTAATAAAACGGTGTTATTTTAACTCCATTAATTTAGTTAAATTAACATTGTTTTAGTAAAATTAATTGACATATTGAGTAGGAGTAGTGGCGACGTGTAGAAATGATTAAAAATGACCGATATTGAGTATTAATTTGACACATATCTTAAATACATTCCTACGCGCAAGTAGTCACTCGCTGCTCGTATACCAATGCGCGAATCCCTGCAGGAATCACGGGGGTGTGGAGATAAAAGGGGGGCAGGGGGAGAAGCTAAACGACATTAATCGCGAGAGAAATCGCTTTATCCATGCGAATATAACTTTCCAAAACCCAGACGACGATTACGGCGTCTGGTGTCCGGGGGGGAGGCCCCGCGTATATATACATTCGTGAAAGAGAGAGATCGGCGCGGCACGTGCTGACATATGGGTTTTCGGGGCTTTGCTTGTCTGGTCTAGTCGCGGCCCCGGGGTCTTTGTGCGGGGGTGGTATAAATGGGATGTCATCGTGTTAAATGGCCCCTGATGCCCCGAGCGCGGCCCATTGAAAAGCCGCCGGACCGGGCCAATTCTTGCGGCTAATTCACGCCGTTTATACGTTTAATTGCCCTTGCCGAGCCACCTGGACCACCGTGCGCGAGAACATTAGGAGCGGGATTCGATCCGAGCCCGTTTAACGGGCGCGTTTAGCATCTCGGGCATGTGCCGTTCGCGACGAGGCTCATCTCTCTCTCCCCCCTTTCTCTCTCACTTTCTCTCGCCGGGGTTATTTATTGATTTACGAGTGTGCCTCTTTTCGGATACGTGCACGAAACGCACTCGGACGTGTTTAAGATTGCCGGGCGGGCCACCCGATGATGAATGAATCAACACTTTATAGCTCTCGACTATACGAGGTAACAATAACGACGACGCCGAAACGTTATCACAGCCGATTCGGGGCTATTAATAGCGTGCTTATATGTGATTTTCTTTTTTTGAAGATTTTTCTAAGTGATAATTCGATTGAGAGGTTCGAGTCGTCCTTAGTGCAATCGTAGCGAGCTCTGAATTTATTGATTATCGGCGATTCGCTCAAAACTGTCATGTCGTTCCGATCTATTATATCTGCTTCATTAAAATCGCGAGAGGTAAAAACGCGTTATTAATATCGCGCGTAACCCTCATCTTATTATTTCAAATTTCAAAGATAGCACAACGCGAAAAAAGCGCGCGCGTCCGGAATTAATCCCCGTTGCTAGTAGGAGAAAACGATGCGCGCTTCTCTCGTCAAAGTGTCGTCGTTATCAACGTCCTGCTCGTTTCCTCGCTTGACGGGTCGTAAATCGCGGTATCGACGGCTCGCGCGAGAGCGAGAGGAAAAAAAAAAGGGCGACGCGACCGAGCGTCGACGGGAAAAGGAGAGAAATTGATGGAGCGCCGAAACATCTCCCGTGCGGGGATGTTCCCGGGGAAGGAAATAGGCGGCTGTGTACTGAAAATCGTGCACGAGCGAGAGAGCTATAAGGACCGCCGTGAAATACCTCCCTTTGAAGAAGGAATTGCCGATCATTAGGGGAAAAGTAGGAATAGACGTCGTCGATAAATCTGACGGCGACTCTATTGAGATCGACAGACGTTTTATTTCGTGTCATTTCGATGTTATGTCACGGAATAATTTGCATATATTATATATACACTGTTGAATATTATAGGATGAAATTTAAACCAATACCTTGAGTTAAATAACATTTTGTTATTTTTAATTACCATGTGTGTTAAAATTTATTATTTGAACACAAAAATATGATTTTAACTCCATTGGTTTATTGCAGTTAAATTGACAATGTTTTATTTAAATTAACGACGTATTAAGTAGGAGCAATTGCGATCTACAGGAATGGTTAAAAATGACTCAATTGAGTTTGACATTATGAATTCAACAGTGTATATTTTTTTATATACATTTGATTTACAAATTTATTTGTTTTAATAGTTTCCAGACTTTTGTAGTCTTAATTTGTTTCTTTTGTTTTCAGAAGGAGAAAACATTTTCCGAAAAGTATTATTCTACGGAGAATCTGATGTATAATACATAGTTACTCGAGAAATCAAGTGGAAGGATTGAATTAATTATCAATTTAAATTTATTATTTATTCTGCGACTGGGAGTAAGTTGACTTCCAGAATACAACGTAATGGAAAAGAAGATATGAAGAATGAGAGATAATCATCCAATAGTGAAATATCTGTTTGTACAGTGCGAGAATAATTAAAAAGTAATTATTTATTTACAAAAGTAGAAACACAGCGCACAGCGGCATTGATTAATTAGGCATCGAGGACAGGCAATATTGATAACGTTGGTGAAATCAGGCGCGGAATAAGCAAGTAATTAGCGAGATGAGGAAGAAGCGTGGAAAGAAACGAGCGAGAGGGAAGGGGGAAAAATGGCGGACGGGGCTGTGCTCTGTGCTCCGGCCGCGATCTCCAGGAAAATGAACGCCATAAATAAAGTCGGCCGGCCAATAATTCCGTCGCGATCGAGCGACGAGAGTTTTTCATCGGGGTCGCACGCGAGAAAGAGTGGCACAGGGGCGACGAGCAGGAGGAGCAGGAGGAGGCCGGCTGTGCAGGAGGAGGAGGAGGAAAAGGGGGAACGGAGGAAAAGCGGAAACGCGCGGCGCAGGAGGGTGGACCCGGGGTGGCGTACGGGCAGTTTGTAATCAAATTGAAAATTCCCAGCGCGGAGGAGGCCGATGAAAGAGTAACCAACGGACACGATCGAAACGGGTCGTCCACACGGGTCGCCGTCACGTGACGACGGATAAACGGAGAACCCGGGGTATATCCCGTGGCCGCTCTTCTCCGTATTGCCGCGCGCAACGCGTTACCTAACATCCACCCTCTCTCTTTCTCTTTCTCTCTCGGTCTTCTTTTTCTCTTCCCCTCTCGTCCACGACCACCCTCGCTCGCTGGATTTCCCTGGGGGGCGGTGGGCGCCGATGGGGGTCCGCGCCGTGTAAAAAGTTCGTGCGAGCAATTCAGCATCACCGAGGCTCCATTAGAGACACGCGCGCGGGGATTGAAGCCGGGATAATTTCGATAAACTCGCCGATCTCGACGCTATAATCGCGCGAAGATGATCCCCAGATTTATTCCCGTTAACAACGGGAACAAGTACGTTTCCGTATGTCTCGTGACATCAGAGATCGCACGCGGAATAAGCATTGCATTTGATAAGATATGTAGTGCATGTGTACATAAGCATAATAATATAATTAGAAGATAATATTTCAAAATCATATGCAGGATGCAGTATGATATATTAAAATATATTCTGCATCAAATATCAAATGAATAAAAGGAGGCATCGTCTCCAATAATCGAGCAGCTATGTTTAATTAAAAGTTAGGTCAGTGGCGTCACCTATCGAAAAAAATTTTTATTTTCTTGTTAATAATTACGAGTAATATCGACATAATCGTCTATCGAGTAGCCGAATAGTTTCTTTATCGACTGCGAGTATTCAGCAAGAATGGTAAGAATTGTGATTTCAAGAATTCATAACTTCAAATCGCGAAAATAAAAGAAACCTCAAAAACTGATAAAGTATCATTATGGAGAATATAATCGGAAAGGAGGTCGCACTATCTAAAATTTCAAGAATTTTCCAAAGTTCCAAAAATTGCCTTTCTAAGACATTCCTACATTTTTAAGAATTGCCATTCCGAGAATGAAAAAGATAAACTAGTAGACAATTTAAATTCCTTATAGACATTTTCATTAAATTCTTATATCATACAATAATAATAATATTTTATGGTATGTATTACGAACATGTGTCTCTACACGGGAAATAATCCTATGAAAAGGAAACACTTATTTTAATAATGACCACTTAAGCTGTTCCTTGGCTGATTGCAATACCTAGAATAAGGAGATCAATTTTCATATGACTCAAAATTTTAACTTACAACTCAAGATGAAAATAAGATTGTACTGAAATAAAGTATTACCTGTGCCACTGTTTGTTCCCCAAGTGGAATGTCATCCGTACGCAGGGCTACTCTCTGCACCACGCTTGTCGCGTCCGCATCCAAAATTATACTGAAATAAATAATCCTGTTACCTCGCCATTGCGTTTAACATCGGCTAAATAAATATTTTATTTACCCGCCATCGCAAATTTCATCCATAGCTAGCATTACTATGTCCAAGCTGTCCAATACCGCTCTCTTCTCCACGTTCTTCCTGAGGATCTGACTTACTGAGTCGTACAGGCAGTTCAGGACACTCATCAAGATCAACTGAAACAAGGTCGATAAATTAATATACATACTCCGTGATAGTATTGAACTACTTAACAGTTTCATAATCTTACATACTTCATTTTCGTGTGAGCTGCCCATAACGTAGAAGAACAAATCTACGTTACTTCTGTAGACACAAGTCAAACCATCCAACATAATGATCTCCGCGTTTGCTCGGTGCGTTTTACTAAACAGATTCTTCTCAAACGTTTTCTGCTCTTTCGACGTTGGAAACACATTTTTGTCATAGTACTTTGCCAGTATCCTGTTGCCATCGTTGTCAAGGATGGCCATTCCCTTGACTGTGTACAGCGTAGGCTCCTAGAATAATTGTCTACGTTCAATTTCGTGATTAATAAAACCACATATGTGTCTACATAATCGAACACACAGCAGAATACATAATAAAATATGTATACAGTGCGAGATTTAAGTTAGATAATATTAACAAGCCGTTTGAATCCTTTTTTCCCTTCCTTATCTCAGGAATGACGCGAGGAGTAAAATTGAGAGAACAAATTAAAAATAAAAATCGATTATACCATATGATTCATAAATTAGGTTCGTGGTGTCACGTTTAGGTTATGGCACGTAATATTCACCGAGGCTCTCCGATACACATATATCATATTCGGTATTCTTATCACGAACGAATGTTATAAGGTTTCTTAATTGGTGTTTATCGCAAAATAACTGATATTTATCTTAAAAACCTACCAATGGTTGACCATCCATGTTTACGTCAAGTTTACCTAATTTTGACGTGTCCACCAGGACAGGGTTGCCAAGTGCCTCAGTATAACCAAAACCTTTACAAGTGTTTCTAGGTAAAAAAAGTGCGCCAATTTTCATATTTTCTCGTAATAAAAATTCATGAATCATTAATTGAAATTTTCTTCTATATCCCAACAACATTATATTATTCTAATTTGTTACAATAGCTCAGAACATATATATGTAAAAAAATATTTTTGCATTCGGCCATATTATAAATATATTAAATTTCATTGTACATCTAACTTTGTATAAGAAGAAGATTATATTTATATATATATGTACATACGTGTGTAAAGGCCATTGCACGTAACAAAGTTTTAGTCATAATCGTAAAGCCAGAAGAAAATAGACCAATCACAGTTGATTATTCTCCTTGAGCTCGAAGAATAATCAAGTGTGATTAGTCTATTTTCTTACGGCCTTACGATTATGATTAAAACTTTGTTTCGTGCAATGGCCTTAACGATATTAGAACTAGAAACACGAGTTATTCTTTACTGGTTAATTACAGGAAAAGGCATAAAAGCATATTTCCTTTCGGATTTTTTTTTCTACGATCACTAATCTTTCTTCAGAACTTTCGTGAGTTTGCGGAAGAATTCTGGTCCATTCCAGTACCCTCTGTGTGTAAAAAAAAAGATTATATAGCAATACAAAGGTTTAACATAAAATTCTACATATGTTTACGATATCCATTTAAATTCTTACCTCAACATCAAGTGCCAGTATATGAACGGGAACATATATTTCTTCAGCAAAAACATAGCGTAGAATTCTTTTCCTTGGTCCACCGGGAAGGTCTCCTTTGGTTGCATTTTGTAGTCGAACTCGGCCAGAATGCATTTGTCGTAACCGGTAACTAACGGGCATGACGCGTAACCATCGTAGGCCATTGTCATTGGTTTGCCGGCCAAATCATCCAATATATTCCGGTACAACACTTTTCCCTGCGCGGCTGCACAATGAATGTTGTGGTAGATATACAAGTATATACAAGTCATCACATTTTACCGTCTATTAAATTTCGAGAATACTCTCTCTTTACCTATTGCGGCCATTGTCTTAGAATTCGGTGTGTTTGTGCAATCGCCTATGCCGAACACATTCGAATATTTCGTGTGTTGCAGCGTCTTCGGATCGACGCAGAGAAATCCGGCTTCGTTAGTCAGCGCTGGATGTTCCTTCAAAACTGCAGCCGGTCCCATCGGAGGCGTCACGTGGAGAAGAGAGTACTAACAGAACAGCGAAAATTAACGATTTTAATTTATCGGTAATATTTAAATGTATTTAAATTATTTTTTATTTTTATTTTTCATCTCACATGGAACATACCTCCTGTACCAATGTCTCTCCCGGTGAGCTTAGTTTCTCAAACGTGGCTTGCCTTTTGCTCGGGTCTATCTTCACCAGATTCGTCTGTAGATTAACGGTAATGTCTCTCCGCTTACAAACGCCCCAGAGAGAATCGGCGTACTTCTTAACTCCGAATATAACCGGCAATGCTGTGTTGTACACGACGTCGATGCCATTTCGTAACTTGCGCTTTGGGTGAATTAAACATTATCGATTAATTGAAGATTCTTGTTGCAAGTTGACGCATGATAACTGTAGAGAAAATATACTTTGCGAAAGTAGTCCTCGGCAATGTAGGCGATCTTCTGAGGTGCGCCCGGGCACTTGATTGGAGTATTCGGAAACGTGAATATCGCGGTTCCCTGTCCGGTGTTTTTTATCTTCTGGTAAACTTGAGGCACAGTGTCGGGCCCGTAGATAGAGCAGACTTGTGCGTCAGGATCGTGTATGCTGTCCGTCAGACCTGGAATCTGTGAAAAGTATTTCAGCACTATACTATTGTAAGAATTCAGTTTAGATATACTTAGACACTGTATAATATCTTACTTTGTCCCAGTACAACTGCAGGCCAAGCGCAACGATCATAATGTCATATTCTATAGTATCTCCATGATGCGTCGATACTTTATTAACGTCTGGCTGAAACCCGACGACAGAAGTTTTTAGCCACTTTGCTTCTTTTGGCAGAACCTCTTTCATATACCTTCTCGATGACGCGTAAGGACTGATACCACCTCCAACTAAAGTGAACAAGGGTTGATAATAATGCACCTAGAAAAAATTAAAAGAATTCATTGTTAAAGAAGGTATATATCGCAATTTCTGTTTGTTACTCACATCGCTGGGTTCCAGCACGATCACTTGCTTCGGATCATTCAGCTTTCTCGACAGCTTTGCTGCCATCGAACAGCCAGCCGTGCCACCTCCCACCACCAGGATTTTGCAGCTAACGCAACGAATTGCAAATACATTTATAGACACACATAACAAGCAACGTGACTTTTTCTCACCTAAACACTGTACTTACGAATGATGGATCTGCCTGCATTCGTTTCTAAGCAACATACACTTTGACAGCGACGCTTGATTGCGAGACAACAGTACACGAGACATCCTGATTGTCAAATGCGACTCTGCGTAGAAGGTGTTGAATACAGTTTGAGTGCCTGTAAAGAAATCGTCAAGATATATCAATCTGTCATTGCAATGTCAACAATGTGGCACCGGCGGCTGTCCAGTTGGAATAAAGACGATTGTAAGCTCCGGGTAGGCGCAAAATACCGGTGCAACGCGATAAAAAAAAAATGTAGTCGTTAACTACCGCGGACCGATATCGCGTATCGACGGAACGAGACATCTGTACCTTGTTTACATACGGTCGGACCTTGGAAAATCTCCTGGCTCTAGGTTAATCCCTCATATCAGGCCGAGGTTGGTCACCCGCCTCCATCTCGCGATATCGCGAGCCACTCGAGGGGAAAAAAAGGTTGATCCAAAATTACGATCTCGGAGGTGCGCCGTCCCCGTTGTGGTCCCTCGCACGTATACAACGTCCGGTACATGATGACGATGAGCGAAAAAGTTCCTGCCTGAGCAGCCTGAGGCAGCTCCCGCATAGAGAGGAATTCACACATTCACAGCTGAATACAGAACAATGAGGGATCTGCGGGGGGCCTCCGAGGGCTTCTTAAATCGACGAAAAATGGGATACACGCATTCTATTGTGGAACTTTTCCCGGCTGATGGAAGTTAAATGAATGAATAGCTCAGCATGATGTTATTTTCGGATATTCTTACTTTCTTTGTTACTGTAAATGTTTTATTTGTGAAGAACGTTTGTGTTACTTAATTAGGGGTCGCAGATATATTATGTAGTGCTTTTGTTCCTTTAAATTTATTTTTAATAAAGAATACTTATCATGTCAACTTATAAATATACCGCAGAAATTCTCGATACCCGAATTAGTTGTTTAAGAAGCATATGAAATAATTCTAACGTAGCGATATTATATGTTATACTTATAAATCTTATAATATTTTATATTTATAGAGATCTTAAAAAGAAGTTGTAGTGTTTTATGCCGGCAGATCCGGCACTGCCCGTAGCATCCTCGAAATTCTAATCTCTATCGAGATATATCGCGATTAATTGGCAGACAGATGAAAAAGCATAAGTAATTGTGTAAAAGAAAACTTTTGGCTGTTCTTTGGTTTTAATATTCGTTCTGTCTCTCTCTTTATTGAGACTAGCTTTCGCGAGTGCCGCCTTAAAGCTGAAGAAACGCGACGCGGTTCAGTCATCAGGATTCTGGACAGGCGCCGAACTTCAGGTCGAATCAAACTCGTGCGCGTCGCGGCCCGAACATTCCGCGCCTAGTTAGAAACAAGGCATAAGAAATAAAGTACGCGGGCACGGGGCGGGGAAAGGAGGGATATAGGGTGAAGAAAAACGCCTCGGTTTGCGACCAAGGGTGCGGTCTTTATTAAATCTCTCCTTACTAAATCTACATCTTACAAACTACACAGAAACAAACAGCACGCTAGCTTAATTAAACGGCTGTACAAACGGCGTGTAACGATTGCGTTGCTACATTCAATCGCGAGCAACTTCACGCAGCGCGGAAACGCGAAATGAAGTTGCGCGCGAACCCTCTTCCCCCTCCCTCGCGGTTATCAAGCGCGCTCGCGCGCGCATCTCCGAAATCTCTGAATTAAAATTTGAAATCTGACAATAAAACGACCGATGTCCATTTCTGTCAATGAGAGATTACTTTTAATTTACTTGTTTAACTTACTTGTTATTTTTTCTAGTTTTTATACAGTTCTAAAGAACTGTATAAGATAAAAAATAAGTTAAACCGAAATTAAAGTTAATCTCCATTGATGATATAGAATTAAACACGAGTGGCGTGAAATTAAACGCCTACGGAGGGACAGGGTAAAGAAAGTCTTTGGCAGTTGGTTTTAATGATCGTTCGTTTCTCTCCTTTATTAAGGATAACTTTTTTTTTGAACGCCGCCTTTAAGCTAGGCAAAACTCGGCTCGGTTCAGCCGGGTACCCGGTCGCGCCGTCAGCTTCAGCCCGCGCCCGATTCGCGCGGGCAACTTCAAGGGAACGACTTCGCGAGGCACGGCACGGCGCGCGTTTTCGCGCGTAAAGACGTAACGCAAGTTCAAGAATAAATAAAAAAAAGGGGGGGAATAAAAGAGATGCGAACCGGAACGGCGAGCCCGTCGGCTGGCAGATGAGTCTCGCGGCGCACCATTTAATCACTCCAGGAATTGCGCGAACCCTCCTCCCGCCCCACTAAGACGGATTTGTCTTCCGCCCGGAATAATTATATTCTCTATGCGCCCCGCATCCCACTCGACGTCGCAGGGAAAATACCGGAGGTATCACCCCACGGGGAAACGCCCAGACAACCCCACGAAACCACTCGAAGGAGGCTTCAACGCCCACACAGGGGCAGCCTTAACGTTTCTCATGTTTTTCGTCGAGCTTCGCGAAATAACGGTTTGCGAGCGGTGTGGAACGTGATCCGAGAGTCCACGGTCCTCCGGAGTGTAAAAAACGGCGACCACGAGGGACAGCACCGTGCCGAGCGCGAGGGAGAAGCTTCTCCGGGCCGCGACCGGGGGACAAGATCACGCGAGAGCGGTATAATTTACATTCCTCCTTCCTTCCTTCCTTCCTCCCTACTTCGCTCTCTTTGTCTCTCGTCGCGCAAATGTCGGCTGTTATTTCTCTAAGTCCTTACAGATAAAGTAACTATGTACAGCATTGTGGGCACAATTCCCATCGACTTTCACTAGTCGCCCGTTCCTCCCAGCACGATCAGCACACGGGCCTCATCTCATCGGCGCATCGCACACCCGTGATAATCGCGACAACGACGAAGGCTACTTCTCTCCCTCCCTTCCACCGTGACGACGATCGTTCGGACGTTACTTTAAGATTCCGGACTAGAGCCGTTGAGAGGAGCAACGTAAATGCCGATTGATTTCTATCTTCATTAAGAAAAAGGGTGGTAGAACGCCAACACATCTCAAATCCAATGCCCGGAATTACAAATCTCGGACAGCACTCAGCAAACACCAAGTAATACATTGCATTTACATTGTTAAGTAGGAAATTATAAGTTACATGTTATTTGGTGTTTGCTGAGCACTGATCCAGGCCTGGTCAACTTGAAGCTCCAGAGACACGACACACTTCTTCCTTTCCATCCACGAAGAGAGGGAAAGGTAGGGAAACTCGAAGTTGACCAGACCTACACTAATCATTAGATTACACATTAATTAACATTTTGAAAATACGTTCAAAAAGCATTTTCCTTTCCGTTAACTTTAAAACAAAGAAAGAAGAAGCGGGAATGCTTGACGCAAGACACGCAGTTGCGACTTGTTTGCGATTTCCGTAACGAATAAAATCTAAAAGTTTCCATCAGGATAATCACTTGATTACGCGTTGCCTCTTGCACGCAGTACCGCGAGGTTGTAAATACGTAAAAAAAGAAGGATATTAGTTTTTAGCTGTGATGTTGCTCCGCTCAACGGCTCTGATTGTCCCTCGTAATATAATTGCGCTAATTACATGGCGAAACGAATTAGCAATAAACGCCTACGCCGCGCAGCCGAGAGACGAGCTTTTGAAAAAGTGCTTTTAGCGAAAGAAGACTGCTGAACGAAATCTATTTTTATCTCTTTTTTCAGTATTTTTTCTTACTTTCTTTTCTCCTTCCGTTCTCTTTCTTTCTCGGCTACGAGGCTCGACAATTACGCCAAAATGCACATCGGCGCGATAAAATTGACTCGCTCCACCCTCTCTTTTTCTTTTTCTTTCTTTTTCTCCTACAATAAGAATTAAAAATATTACTACCATGAGAGACATTCGGCATCGCAATTTTATCGCGTCGGATAACTCGATCGCAACTCAATCGAACGAAAAACATTGCAACGCGTAATTTCGGCCCTACATTGTACGATCGTCGTTAGATTTGTTATGCGCACTCCGCGTATACGTTGTGCAATACATGCACGTTACGAAAAAAAAAAGAAACGGAGGAACAAGACGTGCTATTGCGATTCACGTAAAGGGAATCTCACTTTTCACGATAGATCGAACATTCAAATAACAAGACCGCTAATCAATCCAACGTCCCTCTACGTCTCTCGCAGTACAAATTTCGTTAATTAAATCCTAGCTACGCGTATAGCCAGTGATCTCTAAATCTCTTTTTCGACCTTCTCTTATTCTCAGACAACTCCTAATTCTTAACTCCATAACCATAATTGACACTTAACTTAGGCTTAACTTAAGTTGATCGTTATTTATATATATATATAAAAAAGAAGAAATAAAGTATATGATTAGACGATCGTCGACCGAGCGAACACACTTTGATCCTACGCGGCGTCATGTACCGCCGAACAAAGTACAACTATAATTGGCGCGTATCGTCGAACGAAACGTTGTACAGGTGTTAATTTCGCGTGGGTGATTGGGCGCGATCATACTTCTTACAACTAGGGTTGGGTATCCGATGCGCGCACGCGTGTGTATGTGTATTTTGTTGTGTCTGTATGTTTTCTGCCTGTGTATACGTGCGTTATACGCGTGCTCTTCTCTCGTACGCATTCAACTATGCGCAACACCGTGCTTCGAAGTAGCTTACTCTCATTTGGTTTCTTTTGGCATTACAAAATAATTTTATGTACAGTCTGTTGATACAATATCAATATTACCTCATAGTCCTTTATACTAAATTACGCGATAGAGCATATTATGTTTACTTACTTTATTATGCAGGTAGGGAAACTATTTACACAGTAATAAGACGATAATATAAATACCATTCGGGTATCGTCGAGCAGGTATTTTACTGTACGTGTGTCTGTATGCGTGTGAATGTGTGTCGCGTATTATGAGTCAATTTGCTTTCTTCTTAAATCTGAATCGATCGTTTCGTTGTAGAGACATTCGGTCGTGGATTTATCTCGCGGAACAATCGGTAACAAGATAAGAGCAACGGTGACACTGACTTTCGATGGGGGTGAATCATCGGAACCGGAAGATTTCAGAATCGTCGAGTCATCGTGAGAAATATGTGAATGGGCGTATTCTCTATGGGCCGGCATCGCTATCGTGATGCGCGTGAAAAGAATCCAAAGGGGACAAATATCAATTAAAACACAGCCGGAAATAAGGCATTGTTAAATGCATAACGTATTCGAAGTCCGTGGACCAGGCCTGGTCAACTTTGAACTTCGGAGCCACGACGTTTCTCCCTTTCTATCTATGGAGAGAGTAGGAGAAACCGGAGGAACCTCTTCCCCCCTACTTTCCGTGGATGGAAAAGGAGAAGTGTCGTGACTCCCGCAGCTCGAAGTTGACCAGGCCTGTCGTAGACGATCCTTAGTTATAGTAACATAATAGCCCTACTTTACTTAAAAAATCTAGAGTAGCTTGCACGCTCAGAATAGCCCTACTTAAAAAATCTAGAGTATCTTTTACGCTACGGCAAATCCAATATGTTACAAGAACGCAATTTTTTTTTTCGTCTAACTAATATCCCGAAAGAGCGACCCGAAAATCAAATCGCACAGTCGGGCAGTTAATAATAGTCTACTTAAAAATTTCATTGGATGCAGCTACTTAAATTAAAATCCCAAATTTGCAAAATTTTCCTCTGCAACGAACCAACCTGTCGATGGTCAATTTACAGGCCAAGAATATATTCGACATGAATGAATATTCACGTTCTTCCGAGCGAAGAACGCCGGGATAATTGTGAAATATCTAAGGCTGCGAAATAGTGTAAAGAAAGAATTCTTTCTTTTTTGTCAGAATTCTATCTTTGCAAAGCTTCCTCGCAGAGTTACTCTTCTCTTTTTACTTTTTCTCTCTCTCTCTTTTCTTTCCTCTGAAACAACGAAGATCTCATTCTCGCGTTGTTCGCAAAGCAGCACGTTAACCGCTTAACTTTTCTCCGATTTAACGCCTCGTTACTCGCGCGAGTTAATTATTAAAAGAACACTTTTTCTATATTCTCTTCAATCTAACAGATACAATCAATTTAGTTGTCTCCCTCATAGGAAATTATCAACTGTAAGAGGCTATCAATTATCAATCACTTGGAATATAAAAGGGGACGTAGATAAGCTAAAATAAAATGAAATAAAAATAACTTCGAGACGTGAGATTCAGTTGTGACAAACAAGTTGGGAGGGAACTCGCGTAAAAAATAGCGGAGCGTTAGATCGTATCAGCGTCGTTATTAAGTCGTTATAATCGCATTAAATGCGCCAGTACATTATGCATTTCGTCGTTAATTTTCACTTAGGACACAGACGGCGGAACGTCGTCCGCATTCGTCTCACGAGTCAACAAGGATCATCTCTATTTAAGGATTATCACTCAATTGCATGTGTGCTGAATGAATAGAAGAAACGCGAATGAAAAATTCGCAAGCAACCAGGAATGAGTCACATCCAATTCACCTGAGTAAGATCATGTTTTTCTCTCTCTCATTTGCATTTCCTACTCTATAGTATTTCACTGAAACAACGGCCTTCGTCAAAAGCTAATGCGAAACACCATATTATGCAACGTGGGAAACTTTTACTCATCCCTAAAAAAAGAAAATTAGAGAGAGGGAGAGAGAGAACGACAAGACGAGAATGAGGAAGAAAACCAAGCGAGTAAAGAGATGATCCTTATCAAGGCAATCAATATACGAGGTAAACGGCATACAGGTAAATCAAATATGTCCTGATATATTTCACAGATATTTCTCAGAATATATCTCAGAACATATTCGAATTGTTATGTATCTCGGACGATATCTTAAGACATACAACAACATATATACAGCGGTATCTCTCCATTTGACCTTTCCTCTTCCAGAATGGACCGATCGAGAAAAGGATCCTTTAAGAGTACTTCCACCAATCATTTTCCAAATAGCCATACTACGTCGCATGGGACTGTTGAGACTGCGGCAGCTGCTTGCTGGAGCTTTTGTGATGGCTGGACGCGTGTCTTTCCTGAAAACGACAAATAGAAATGTGACGTCTTGCTCCGTGAAGTAATGCAAACATGAAACGAAACATCCGCTAGTAAAAATAGTTAACACGTCACGCAAATAAATGTGCGCCGTGTACACGTCTAATATATCTTTTGACCATAATTGAGTCTATTATTTTGAGGATGATGCGCTGTTTAGAATCAAGACTTTAAATCTTATGAACGGTAACGAGACGTGAATCTAAACCGAATCTGACGTGGCGTTCTTTTTCGTGCGTGTTTCCAGCAGAATTGTCAAAATAAATGACTCAATTTTCACATTTTCGTAGCTAAATGTAGCGTGAATTCTTTCTTCATTCCCCTGTGAATCTTTTAATATCCGTTTCCGTAAGAATTCAATCTCAGATTGATGGGAACGGATAGATAGTGAAAAGTTAATTATCTCAAATTAATTTCAATGTATGAGGTCTTCCAGGCGAAAAGCGTGATACACGTAATGATATATAACAAATAATTATAATTCGCAGTGCGAGCGAAAGGAGAATGGAGTATCGTATTAGCATCTTTGCGGTGAACTTGCCCCTTATTTCCGGTTCCTCTTCGATTATGCGCAACAAAGTGGGATCGAGTTAAGCTACGCAAACTGGCAGAAGCGTCTATTTGCAAATTCTACGCATGCAGATGTATATACGGATGCAAAGAAAAGCGTAAAGCGTGCGAGCGCATGCTCGTACTCACATTCGTCAATCATCATGCACGCACACACGCATACATTAACAACACCATTACAACAACAGCGATAGTCCGATAATTCAGCGATAACGATAATATTTTGCTCCTAACAATAGTAGCAATAGTGGTCGTGGTGTACCCTTCACCAAGCAACGGGAACAAATGACACGGGCAACGTCAATTAATCTTGTTTTGTTGGTTTTTTGTGAGCTTCGTTTCGTGTGTGACTTATGTAGCAATCATCGCAATATGGTACTCGTACAATATACTGAGCTGTGATGTTAGTACATACATATATGTATTTAAAAAAAAAAAAAAGAGATGCGGCGGTACGGTGTGCGATACTGCATATGTACATATAACATGTGTGGTATTAAGAAGACAAAATAATCACTAAGGTACGTTTCGTTTGCACAGTACGTTTATTTGCGTTGTTTAATTTTTTTTTCTTTTTTATCGACCATGCGACGCGTACGATCCCTGTTATATGATTGCGTGTAGTTCCTCGCCTGTAATCGTCTATCTCTCGCTCGAATTTCCATGAACAATCGAGGATGAATATTTGCTATTGATTAAAACGTTTGAAACGTTTCAATGACTGTGTGTTAATTGATAATTTCTGCGTTACTCTCTTTCTCTCTCTCTCTCTTTCTTTTTTCTCAAGACAGGTAGCGTACGCGACGAGTGGTGAATATACATCGTGTACAGAATTTACGCAGTGTTCACGTTACACATATATATATTCTTCTTCTTTATTTTTTTTTTGGCGAGTTAATTGTACCCTAAGATTTATGTTTCTCAATTCATTCGTATGCTATTCGCTGCTCACGCGCACGTGAGCTTGCAGCGTGTGATGTCTTCGTAACGATTATTCGTTTTAGATCGATGTAGCATTCGTTGGCTAACAACAGCTTGAAAGCATTGCCGATATACACCGATTTGTCGACGATTCCATTAATCCGAAATCTAAATCATTTTACTACGACGAAATACAATGGACAGTCCCGCTACTCCGGATCGAGATAAAGAAAAATATCTCGAGGACTACTAAGAAAAATTGTGAATTTCTAAAATTATCAAAAATATCTTTGCGAAAAACGCTGGACTTATATACATCTTTAACATATACATATATATGTGTATCATCTCTCTCGCTTTCTCTCGCTCTCTCGCACGCTCGCTCACTCCCTTTTCATCTCTCCCTTTCTCTCTATTGTGTCACTTATCAATCACAGATCCTTTGTCAAATTTCAAGGTGCTATAATTTTTAAGAAAATTCGTCGTCTCAATTACTTTCAAACAAAATTTTAATGTCATTAATTCGATAGAATTTTTATCAAGAAAAAAATCAGCTCTAAACTAATTAAAAAATGCATTATGTCAACGAGAAAGATATATGATATCGAATAAAGTGCTATATAAATATATATATATATAATATACTCTTCTGTTTTCTCTTAAATTTCTTACGATCACAGAATATAAAAACTAGATTTACCTTAGCAATTATTTTGTCTTTCTATTACTGGTTTTCAATTACTGTCGTAATCGCACAATTTGACTACTTGCAGTTTCATTTCTTTCACTTGCATTTTTGTTACCGTGCATGATTTCGTTTCACGTATATTGTCGTATTGGTCAATAAATCGGGTTACAATCGGCGGAAGTCAAGTCGCTTGGTACATTGATCTTCAGTTTTATACGATAAGTAAGAGAAAAGACACGCGCGAGTTTCCTGAGAATAGCATCCCATGCAGCATTTATGAGAGATTTCTTCCTAAAAAATCCTCAGCACAGCGATTATAAAATATCACATTCCGGAAACGGAATTTTTCACAATATATCGAATATATACATGCTAATGGTCTTCGATAAATTTGACACATATCTGGCTACATATACACGGTGAGAAAAACCGCGTTCAAAAGTACATATGCCTAGAAGTAATCTCATCCCGTGTAAGCTCCGATATAGTTACCGAAAGCCAAATGTGATGTAGACGTGAGAGAAAAATATTTAACATACATATTCTTGTATATATATGTATTATAGCTCACACACGAGGAAACGGATGACGAGCATGAGTGATAACGAAACAAGTTTGTATAGAGAGGAGGAGCAGAAGAGAGGAAAGAGAGAGATATGTATAGAAGAAAACACAAAAGTACGTAGAGTGTAAGTGACGAAATTTAGAATAAGCGTTAAGATACAGACAGAAACAGAATTATGTACGTCTATATATAAGTTAATTTAAGATATTAGCTGAATTAAGTAGGAATGGCCGAAAATGTTGAGAACATATCCATAAGAGAATACAAAAGGACTTCTTTTCTAACTAGTCTTTTCGATCGAACTAACAATAAGAATTAAACCCTTCACTAATGACTGATCATCAATTTTATCTCTTTCTTCGAAGATACAAAAATATGAAACTATTCACTATTTTTCCGTTTTACGCGCGCGTTTGTGTCTTTTGTAATGTTTTTATTTTAAATTATATTTCTTTGTTAATTTAGACACTATACAAAAATTAGGATAAGGGTTTAGATTAAATTAAAAATGTGAATGTGTGAATTCTTATGAGCTCGCGGGATTATTAAGTCTTTATATGTACATATATATGTATATACCTACGTACACACATACATACATACATACATATATATACACATATAATACATATATATCAATATTAATAAAGTTCAAAGCAGTAGCGATAATATATTGTACTATTATCAAAGCGTGTTTCGAGTTCACACGGAACGAAAAAACTATATACAACTATAGACAGAGCATCTTAAATCGTTAAATGAGATTATCAACTATGCTCTTAATCATAGATCCTCTGCATTTCGCAAATCAGTCGCGTATATTAAAACATCGATGGTAATCGTGACAATATAACAATTAACAATGACACATTCACGATTCCGATATATAATACCACTTCTCTGCACGTTATATACTATACATTTCTTAAACGACGTTGTATACATGTGCACATACGTATACATAGCATAACACTCTTAGAAAATATATATTCCGACCGTAATATACCGTTCGCATTCTAATTTAATCCGATGCGACGTTCCTGAGTTAATATTTGTTCTATAAAAACTTCACAATTGTCGTGCTCGATTGTGTAATATACACAAAATTTAATTAAATCGAAATTATTAGTAATTTCGGATAAGTTGAAATCTATGTTTATGCAATCAAAAACGATTCACAAATCGCTTGCCTCCCTGGCTAGCAAAAGCATTACACGTATTACTCGCTATTCGCTAATAGCGGAGGCTTCTATCCACGCGAGTAATAGTTCTTTCGGGAATAACTGACGCCGATAGAAAATCGCTTTCTTCGCTATATCTTCGTCTAATATATTTCGTCTATCACACGTGGCAGTGTCCCTCCTCTCGAACTTTTACAACGTAGTTTTCCCTCTTCGAACTTACGATGTTTCCCCTAAGGCTCTTATATATTCAACAATCAATTATTGTACTTAAACTATTAAGCGATATACTATGTGCAGAGAAAAAAAGATGCCTGCAAGAATATCTTGCATGTGAAAACTTCTAAGAAAGTTACAATTTTCAAAAAATTTCCTATTTTTTGACTAATATTCCTATTTCTCGGTTCCTTTCAGAGCAACAAAAAGAATACGAATCACAGAGATAACCGGGGGTGCTGATTAGAGTCACAACGAAGATATGATTTTTAAAATGACCATCAAGAACTTTGCAGGAAATTTTTTGAAGATTATGAAAAATTATATATACATTTTAAAGATAGGTCAAGTAATTATAGCATTTCCAAAATATATTTCAGTTTGCACGGTAAGAAAATGCTGTATAATTTATCTCAGAGGATCTAATATCATCGACAAAAAATATTATCTGTGCTATTTAAGTACAGATTTTTTCTCTAAATTTCATTGATCATCTATTATAACATACTATTTTTTTTTAAGTTTATATAATTTAATAATTTTTTTAATTTATATAATTTAAATTTTTTTTCTTATTTTTCAGGCACTGGGTATAAAAAGGAAAGTAGTAACAAGCAAGAACAGGTGTAGTTCTATAGCAAACTTACAGTAGGTAGATCATGCTGGCTACAAGTGGGAAACTAATTTTTGAGAGAAAAGGGAAATTAAAAGGAAAAAATAACGATATTTCCCAACAATATCGTCGACACATTGCATTGCTATAGTACCAATAGCTGCTATCATTGTGGTATAGCTCGATCCCACAAACACTTGAATTTAACTTCAATTAAGGTTTACGAGATCGGCTGTATGCGACTAACCGAAAATTGCACAATTTCTGCAATATTGGTATTATGCATTTGCACACGTTTTCATCCGAATGTCTTAGGCACTCGGATTGCATTATCGGATCAATATCCGTTTCACTACGAATCAAAAAACATTGATACGAGATACCATTTTCGACTAAGATTTTCTACAACTATTATACAGGTACGGAAAAAAGATACGATCGAAGCAGTCAGGTGATAAAGAATAAACGGCACGACGTCATGCTACTACTTCTACCAAATTATTTCGCAGAATCGAAGGGAAAGAAGAAAAATTAACAGCGTTTCTGCGCATTTAATTAGCTCGGAGAACGATTATGGGGGTTTTAGATTTCAACACCTAACCCAAGTATAAGAGAAAGATGTATGTATATATATACATACACATTTAAAAAAGTGTATATATATTTTTATATAAATATATACCAATTTAGAGAGTAACAAAGATAATTTATCATGTCCACAATCTGAGTTTACACGACAGAAAAGTACTATATATTTACATAGAGAATTTTATATTGTTGGAGGATTATATTTATATATACCGTCTCATTTTCATCATAAATTCTCTAATAATTTTGGTGAATTATTTATGTGATTTTTTAGCCGTTACCTTTGAAAGAAATAGAAATTATATACATTGTATATACAAATTTTCGAACAAATTCATAAAAATTAATCGCTTCCAGAGCACTTTACTTTTATCAAAAATATTACTGGAGAGAAAAAATAAGAAAACAAAGAGAAAAAAGAAGAGAGAGAAAGAAAATATTATTCAGACGATGTAAACTATTATAAATCACGTATTCATTGATCTTAGAGAAGAAATAGAAAGAAAAATATAAATATCCAAAACGAAGCAGAATTTCACATCGTTGAAATCGTAATGGGAAACTTGATTTTAAGAGGAATAGTCTCTAGCGAATAATTAATACAAAATATATACATGTAAAGAAAACAATCTTAAAGATTGAAATTTAAAAAATACGTATATATATAATTATATAAAATTATATAATTATATATAATCTACATATCTGTTTAGTAAATAACTGGGTTTAGTTGCAAATTCTATAGTGCAAGTGAACTTTTTACATATGTATAATTGTTCGGAAAGTTCATAATTTTTGGTATATATATATAAGTATCGATATTAACAATTTTATTTTTTTTTTTTGTAAAGTGATGGTATTTATGTATGATTTGAAAGGTAAAAACCTAAGTATCATTCAAAGCAAAAAGATTAAAATTTGTTGAGTTATGCTCAACAACTCTCAGAAGATGTAAGATAAAAAGTGCATTTTCGGCATTTAACATTCTTTTACTATCGCAAAAGTAAAAATGCTGCATAGACTTAAAAAAAAGATATTTGCTGTTTATGGATTGAATGGTTAAATGTCGTTGAAAGCACTGTGTATAAGTAATTATCCCATTTTTAACCGATAATTTTTCTCTGAAAGATGTAGAACGTTCTGGCACATCATCGGCTATTGATGACATAAAATCATAACATCAAATGAAAATGTTAATCAAGAATAATCCATGTTGGGTTACTCTAGAGACTATTGAGATGAAAATATTAAATAAAATACTAATTCTTTTTTTTCTCAAATTTCACTACACACTTTCCGAACAATACGAACAATGTAAAATATACATATACATATATATGTACATGTATAAAGTGAGGCGTCTTATCACTCCGACATTGACGGAGGAGGTGGTGGAGGCGGCGGCGGTGGCGGCCCACTCGGCAGGGGAGGAAGTGATGGGGGCGGTTGAAGAGGCGGTGGGGGCAACAATTGCGTATCTTCCTGCCGGGTGGACACAGCCGACTGGGACTGAATTATATTTTGATTCTGAAAGAGCTGATTTGAAAGTAACGACGGCGGTGGTACCGACGTGTTGATGGTGCCGTCCGGCGTCATTATCAGATTACCTCCCGCCGGGTACATTGGATATTGCTGAAATTGTTGATAATATTGCTGATAGGCGGGTTCATACACGTATCCGGCGGATGTACTAAACATGGATGCTGGATAATTAGCATAAAAATAAGAATCTGTGCCCTGCTCGGTATGGCCAGTCCCTCTCGCGTACCCGCCGACATCGCCGCGAACAGTCGGGGGATGGTGGGACTGATGGGAATGATACTGTTGATGACCGCGGTTACCGCGACCGTTACCGTAAATCTCTCGCTGGTAGTGACCACCAGCGTTACCACCGCGCTGACCGGCAACTGCGTGATGTGGTGGTGGACCGCGACCGCCTTGATGCTGACGGACGCCTCTACCACGTACCTTATTATTGCTGCCGGAGTTATAGTGCCTGCCGTTCTGCCGTTCTCCAGGTCGGTGGCCCTGGCCGTAGCCACCCGTCGTAGGTAACATCAGCGCTTGCTTCTTTGTGAGCGGGACGCCACTGCTGCCCGAGCTGTCGCCGATCAGGTCGGCTCGCTCGCGCTTCCGACTTGTCATTTCGTTCGCGGATAATTCAGAGGAGAGCTGCATGTGCAAAGATCCGCTAGAGCCGTTCGACGACGATGACGTCGACGATGGCAGCGGCGCCGCCGCGGAACTCCTTGAGATACCAAGATCGGTGCGGATTTTGATCTTTAGCGGACCCTGGATCATTGGCTGCGCGGGTGATGAACTGGGCACACTATCGGTGCCCTTGAGCCTTTCCTTGGGTATCTTGATCTTCAGGCCCGTGCTCTGAGGTGATATATTTTTGTCCAACGGACCTCCGCCGACCACGGTCGATGACGCTTCCGTGCTCAGGTTCAGTTTGTCCTTGGGGATCGTAATTTTGATGGGCGCCGCCGTTGGCGTCTCCTCGCTTTTTTCCTTGTCTTTTTTCTCACGATGTTTCTCCTTAACTTTATCCTTGTGTTTATGTTTATGCTTATCTTTGCTCTTCTCCTTATCTTTGTGCTTGTGCTTCTCCTTCTTTTTCTTCTTTTCGCTCTTATGATGCTCCGACCGCTTTTCCTCGATCGGAGGAACAGTCGTTACCGTGGAGACTGTTGGCGCTGTCAATTCTATCATGTTGCTGTTGCTTGGCAGCATCATCGACACATTGTCGGAGAGAACACTGATATCGACGGTCGAAGCTATCGGTGTGAAATTATCGCTCGCTATCGACAAACACTGAGTCGTCACTGGTAATTGGTGATCCATCAACGAATGCTGAATGGACTGTAGCTGATGATGCTGTTGCTGGTGCTGCAAGTGGTCTTGGTGCACCTGCTGAAGAGGTAATTGGCTAGGTTGTTGCAGTCCCTGCAACAGCGATGGCATCGGCGGCAGTGTCTCCTGGAGCAACGCGCTTATACTCTGCGCGGATTTCATCGGCGACGTGTATTCAAGTTTTGTCTGCGATTGGGAATGCATTGGTTCCGGGGCTCTGTGTCCCGACGGTTCCTTCTTTACGTAATGCTCTAGAGGTTCTCTTCTCACACGATGTTCCGGGAGTTCTTGTTTCACCACGTTGAGGTCCATACCGTTAGTCAGTGCGTTCACATTCATCGATAAGGCTTTGTGCTGCGACATCGCGTTGAAACGAAACTGATCCGATTCGAATGGTTTGATAAGCTCCGGTGGCTTCAAGTCATTAATAACGGATGATGTGCTGTTCCTGCTGTTCGACAACGACAGATTGTCGCGTATCGGTTGGATCAGATCAGGCACGCGGCCGAGCATCTTCATCGCCTCCAAACTGGTTGTATCTTCCGTCTTGATTTCCGTCTTGATCTTCACCGGCTGCTCGCTCTCACCGATACTCGATGCACGCGTCCTCTTATGCACGGATCCTTCGTTGGACGGTCGTTTCATTGTTAACGAATCTTGCAGTGTTGGAGAACTCGCGAATGGCGATACGCGTTCCTTCATCTTCGTGGCTGCGGAGGGTGGAGTTTTCTGTTTCGATTTAGGCCTTGCGCTTTGAGCGTGCGATTCTCTGGGCACGATCGGCGTCTCCGGGCTGAACAGCGATCTGTGCTTGCCAGGTGGTGTATGCAGACTGCCCTGTTGGACATCGACGGAATTCCTCTCGGCAAATTCCTCGTGCGTGGTCGATCGCGATCGCTTCTCCGACTTCGTATCATCGTTGTTCAATGTGCTCAAGCAAGACTGGGAATTGCCATTTTTTATAGCAATGTCTTTCAGGATCTGGGATACACCCTGCGCGGTATGCTGACAGTACATCTGTGTCTTAACGGGTGCGGTCTTCTGCGACAACAACGCGCTTGGAGACGTTCCCTGCGGCAGCGCGTTCTGACTGGCAGTTGCTGGGTGCTTCATATCACCGGTGAATGAACTGCCCTTGTCCTGCTGTTGCTGATTGTACTTGGCATGATGCGCCTGCTGCTTCTGCTGCGCGTTCATCAGATACGGTATGTCCGCCTGCTTCGGCGGCGGCAACGGCTTCTCGATCAGCTTCCGCACCTCCTCACTTCTCTGCTCCAGCGCCTCCGCTTTTCGTCTCAATTGAGCCTCCATTCTGTTAACGTCTGCGTATTTCGCAGATTTGAGCCTCGGGTCCTCTCCTCGGTACAACCTCTTATCGTGCCCCTGATGCTTGCTATCGAGCGCGTTCAGTCTATGTCCGCTGTGATTATTACTCATCTTTTCATGCAAACTACCGTGCACCGAGGATGCGGTATCTTGCACAGCACCACTGTCCGACCTATGAGCTATAGATTCGGACGAGGAACTATCTAAATTGGCGTGGTGCGAGGAATGTGCTATACCAGCACTTGTGCCAGCCATACCGGCACTGTGTTCTCTCGGCAATCGTTGTCTATTAGGATCGCGATTAGGTTGACTGCTACCGGAGTGTCTCTGCGGCACTGGTTGACCGACTTTCATGTCCGGCCGATGATGATGATTGTGATGAAGGCCAGTACCCTTTTGCACAGATGGCATCTGGTGCTTGTTCGACATACTTGCGTTAGATACTTGTTTATGGTGATGTGAATGATGAGGCTTGTTAGGATCAGCGACATGGCATCCGATAGCGGCGACTGCCTTCTCTCGTTCCAGACGCTCTCGCTCCTTCTTCTCGCGATATTCTCGGTAATCTATCGCAGTTGCTCTCGTCGATGGTCCTGCGATGGTTTTCTTCTCATCCTGTTTCTCCTGCTGTCCATGATGAGACCGACTCGAATGAGCAACGGCGCCGTCTGTCGTATGATGAGACCGACTCGAGTGGGTAGTAACAGCGGTAGAGGAGGTAGAAGAGGTACCATCGGCCGCGTGATGAGTGCGGCTCGAATGGGCAGCGGCGGCAGCGGGAGCACCAGCAGTGCCTTCCGCTGCGTGATGAGAGCGGCTCGAATGAGCAGCGGCGACACCGTCCACCGCGTGATGAGAGCGGCTCGAATGGGCGGCAGCGGCACTTTCCACTGCATGATGAGCGCGACTCAACTGAGCAACAATGGCAGCCGCACCATCCAATGCTGGAGATTGTATTCTACGCGGCTCGGTATCCTAAAGAGAAGAAGATGCGAGTTAGAGCTCGTCCACGGAATAGACAAAAAAAATGTAAAAACAGAGAGTCTGCTTTCTATTGCTGCCCTGGCTCCACTATTTCGAGAAGTGTGTGTATATATATATATATATATATATATACATACATTGAAGCGTGAGAAACTTACATATAACTGTCACGCTTTAGTGTATGTACAGTTCTTAAACTAGTACAGCCACTACAGCAACAGAAAATAGACCCAGAATCATATTCGTACGTGCGAGTTACTTACGAATGGCGAGTTCGGGAGGCTCGGAGGATGAATATTTGGACTCTGATTAGCGGAAATGCTCATAATTTTCCTTTTTAATCTCGATGGACATTTATCGAATATATGAAGAAATTCATTTGTAAGTTCTTGAAGTAGCTCCGCAGTTACGCTTCTGTCTACGTACCAGAACCATTCTTTTCCTTCGGTACTCTGCGGTATCTGTGCACAGAAAAGAATAAACAATTAATAAAAGCGTACCATGTATATACATGTTAATGCAGTTTCAGAGAATTGAAATAGATATAAATCGACCAGAAGACGAACGCGACGCATGCATGAATAATTTTACAAGTGTTTATATTATGATTGTTATCGCACATCAGCAGTCTGCAGCAACTTGCGCGCTTGTTCGGGGGATATAAGTTTTCTCACCTCCCAGTTAGACCATTTACATGCGAGGTGTATGCAAAAACAGGCTACAACTGTCGGCTTATATTGTAGACACATTGTAGTTAAATGTAGGCTGCAAAAGAAAAGAAATCGTACAAAAACCTGCATAGAACTCATCGAGCCTGTCATAATCGAGAACCATCGTTATTTAACAATTTTAAAGATTTGCATGTCAAAACCGTACAAATATGAATAACTAACAAGTGGTAAAAAGTAAAAAACTATTTTCGTAACTACTTGTATTATTCTAAAAAAGATAAAACTCTTATATATATCTTTGCATGATAGTCTGTGTATAGTTTCGCTTTTATCCTATATTTTGGAAATATCTGTAGTTTCTCTGAACCGACTACCATTTACGTACTGGCACATTTCTGTTTTTGCAAAAAATAAAATGTCTAAAAGATACTGTTACTGATCGAGCAAAAGTAGCAGTACAGGAGCAGTAAACAATTACCTGTTAGATGCCATAAAGTATGAGGTTTGAGCTAAATCTTTGCTCGCTAAAACATAAACAATCCATTTCAATTAGTTTCTATCGGAGTCTAGCAATCCCACATGGAGATTGATATACAGTAATGGTATACTACGACCTAACCTGTACCTTTTACTAGTTGACAACATCTAACAACGTGAGTGTGTGGATGATCAATGGCAACATCGAATCCTAATGTTTGTAGGAGGACATTCTCGTTGAATACCAAATCTTGCGCTTGCTCGAGAAATTGCTGCAAATAATAATATTAGATATTTATGTTGAATAGATGAAAAAACATAATTTCTTTTTTTTTTTTTTGCATAAACGGATGTAAAGTTTAGACATGATCAAAGTGACATATGTGTCTCCACAGGACGAACAACCTACCTCAGACCGACTGTCAGGTGGTGGTTGGTCTCTGTGGAGACACATATATGCCATTTTGATAACATGTTCTAATTTCCTTGGTTGTTCTTCCACTTTTGCAGCTAGAAAGAGCGCCGCTACTGCAATAGCGTTCCTGTGAAACTGCGTCAGCGAATGGAACACGTAGAATCTGTGCATGTACACTATGGCAGTGTTGATGCACAATTGTGACCTGATTTTTGTTCATTAAGGAAAATAATTTTCCAAGATATTCACAGAAAGGACCTCATACAATTTATATGGGGAAAAAAAACATTTTTGATCAATTTGCTTGAACTTGTGATATATTGTAGTTTTTGTGTCCTTAATAAAGTCTCCAATTTCATCAACTTTCTATGGATTAGTTTCTGAATTATATTTGAAAATCTCCTACACAAGAACCGTTTGTACGTTTGCATACATGAGCTTGCACTTGTGTGCCTGCCCGCATCTGTGTATGAATGCCTGTGAATGCTTCGCGGGCAAAACATTCACGAACATTCATACACACAGATGCGGGGAGGCACACAAGTACAAGCTCGTGTATGCAAACGTACAAACGGTTCTTGTGTAGATTTTCAAATGCCTGGTAAGGTAAATGTCCCGAATTAAAATAAAAAAATCAAAGATAAAAACATTTTTCTTGTATTATAATTTTATCTTTGATTTTAATTCGCGTTATACTTTAAAAACTAAAATAATAAAGGTGTCTAGACGTAGGTCTTAAGTGTCCCAGCATTGGTACATTTACCTTAATTCAGAAACTAATCATAGAAAGTTGATGAAATTTGAGTCCTTTCACCAGGGACACAAAAACTACAATATATCACAAATTCAAGCAAATTAACCGAAAACTTTTTCTTCTCGTATAAATCACGGAGAGCAGGGCCTTTCTTTACACAGTAAAATTATATTACTCATATGCAGGATGGAAATTCAGGATATTCAGGATTAAGAATAAGGAATACATTTTTACACGTATCCGTCAATTATATGGATCCTATGGATACTCACAGTAAAGATATATCTAATATTTATGTCAATATCTTCTGCAACAAAAAAAAAACATTCTTAAAGATTAATATGATCTTTATCTATGATTTTAATACAAACTTTATGTAATAGATTAAAAAGAGATACCTATAAGCCCCATCTATTTTACAGTAATTTAAAAAAAAAAGATATTGCAAATTCCGTACAGTATAGATGGACAATGTACGGGAAGCAAAGGATTCACTATATTGGAATCCTTAACATCACATGTACCATAAACGATTCCATTTCTATCAGCATACATGTGTGTGTGAATTCATTTCTAAATATAATTAAAAAGTACTTGACAGAATACTTTCAATTCGAGTATTCAATTTCGAGTACACAGAGCAGAATACTATCTAGTAACGTATTTCTTCTTTGTGTAAAATTATATATGTAATTTACATATGTATGATTGTTGAGCAGACAAAAATTTTGAAAGTAATGATTGAAATATTCTGCTTTATATACGTTCTGCGTTACGTGATATACCGACAAGGGATCATCCGAGTCTATAAAGTCGCAAAAAAAGTACGCATATCCTCCATTCGCAGTACTATCTCTGTAGTGTAGACATAATTAATAAAGAAAAAAATGTCTTGCTAAATCACAAGTTGATTGATTGAATAACAAATATTAAAAAAAAAATTTTTTTTTTAATTTCTTTTAAAGGAAAAAAAATAAAATAATTTAGGCTCTATCAATATCACTCTAAAACTTCATAGAATTAGATTAAATGGTAAGATTAGAAAATAGAGAGAAGGTACAATAGTTTTTTATATATAAAATAATTTATTTAGATTTTCAGTTTACAGCCATGTGGGAAAGTTGATTTAATGAACTCAGACAACTCAATCAGTTCTTCTTACAGCTTCCTAATAACAGTTTAGTTTAATGGTACAAGTACTGAAATTTAAAATGAAATGCATACATTATTCGCATACTGAAATTTAATGAAATGCACTCTTATTCGTTGTCAAGAAGAAAAATTGAGAGAATTAACAAAAACATTGATAAACTGTTACAAATTTTCTAGCCAAAATATAACAAAAAAGCAGAATCTTTATATAATATGTAAAGGACTAGACGTAGAATTTTCTGGGAAGTTGCAAAAGTTCCAAGTAACACTAAAAACTAGAAGCGTAAGGCAAACTTTCCACACATTTCTAAAGTGTCCACATACGACTGCCGCGCAACAGTCTACAAAGATAGCGCTGCATTAAAACTTAAATACGGTAGACGGTGGTAGTGCCTAGAACAAACATGTTTAGAATCGCCCCGAGTTTTCACGTTTGCGTGCACCTCACGTGCGACAGGCGAAATGCAAACAGGGTGAAACTCGCGAACTCAATCAAGAATGCCAAGAGGCATTACGTTCGATCTGTAAAGTGGAGGTGTGGTTCAGGGTGATATTTAATCTCTTTTTTAAGTCTTTCCTCATTCTCGCCCGTGTCAATCACGTCCCGTTAACTCGATGGTCCCCGTCCAAGTAACACAAACGCATATACACACACGCGCGCATATATAGATATACACACACACATGTGTGCGTTCCGAGCAACACTTACATGTCGCTCCAGGTACCGTATCCCTTATCAGCCGAGCCTTCCTATGTGCACTTGGCGGCACGGTCCTTTCGCTGTTGGGAATTGGCAAGAAACGTACATGTGACGCACGGGACTCCAATATGGTTGAATCTTCCATTTCATCCGTCCGTGTCGCGGATGGAGGGACGCGGAGTCAATCGCGACCGCTGTCGCGCGTCTCTCATCGGCATGGACCCCCGTGAACGGTATCCTCGACACCTGCCACTGGATTACGAGCGCCCGACATAGTCGAGACGGATAAAACCGCGAAATCGGGGAAATGCATGGGAGATGAGGGGGTAAGGGGGGCGGAAGGGGACACGATCTAGAAGCGTGGAGACCGTGACCGAACGTCGCGCGTGATAAAAAAGGATACACCACGAGACGTTGTCCCATGTCCTGGATGAAGTTCGCCGCCTGTTGACGGTAACTCAGCTCCTTGTCCGCGTCGATGCCGGCCCGCCTGCTCGGCGTGTTTGCTAGCTGCTCTCTGGAGAAGTACCATCGCTCGTCCGCCGCCATTTATATGTACACACAATCCGCCTCCGTTTAGATCGTAAACGATGCGCACTCTTGACGGGCGAACTCTTGACGCGTGGCCGCCGGACGACCCGGAGGTCGGGGGGGCGAGGAGGGACCAAGTATGTACGAACGGCACTCCGGTGCACGCGCTCAAGTCACGTCTTGCCGCCGCCACCGCCGCCGCCACCAGCTACCGTCACGTCGCTCGTTCTTGGCCGATGGAAAATGGCGCCGTGGGCGCGAGTGACGCAACACGGATGCGATGCGACACGACGAGCGCGACGTCGCGCGAGGACACGCGCGTCCAACGGGTGGCCCGTCGAGGGGCCTCGAGAGTCTCTCCCCGTCGATTCCGTTCGGTTGATAGCACGCCGGAACGGGGGGTAGAACCTGGAATAGTACCAGAACGGTTGGGACGAATCGCGCGACGACTCGCCGCAAACTTCTCGCCGCAGCCGCACCACTCTCGTCGATCCGCTCTCCGCGCACCACGCTCGCGAGGAGGGAACGCGCGTCGAAGCAGCGTCGAATCGCGACGTTCCGTTAACGTCGGTCGGGCACCGTCGTCGAACGAACATGTATGGGGGACGTCGTACGTTCTCGACCGACAATCATTTGTGTTCCCGCGCGGAACGATCGTCTCTCCACGAGATCACGCCGTCACGGCCGTCATAACCTCCGTCGCATCACGCGGGGGCGATGCATCGTCATCGCGGTCGGTCGGACGAGCGGGCGTCCCCGCAAGATCTCTCTGCCACGCGACGGTTAAAAAAGACGCTCAAGACGACCGACGGTGCATCGGTCGCGTCACACGTTGCGTAACATGCGTGGCGAACCGCGTCGTCGTTACCACGTCGACCACCTTCACCTGCTCTTCCTTCGAGAAATTCACGTCCCCGCGAACGTGTACCTCCTCTCCGATGTTACGTCGCCTCGCCTCCGGAGGCCAGCGCGGCCGCGTCGCGTAAACGCGCTTTAACGGCGTGACCGTAGACCGTTCGGCACAAGCACCACGGAACCGGAGGGCGCTCGTAAAGTGAGAGAATTCACTAGAGTGTCTACGATTTCAGTGGATGTCGAAACGCAAATCTCGCAAGGTCGCAAGTTGATTGGCTCTCGTATGACTTTTTAAGTGGAAGCGTCCCGTTTGACCACGTTGCGATTAACCACAGCCAATCACAGCCCGCTGTGCCGGTGCCTGGGGTTTTTCCACTGAACCAGCCAATTAGAAATTTTTATTTTAAATCAGTCAATTGGTGACGTCAATTTGATCCTTTTAGCCAATCAACTTGTAGATTTTTCGTAAGAATGGAATTTGCGTATACATACGTTTCTCTTGCGTTTGAATTCAAGAATCGAATCCCTGGTTATATCTGAATAATTTTTAACGTGCGCAACATAAATGTATAGCCTCTAAACATTAATTTGTTGTGCAAAACTATTTTTTTTTTCATAAACTTCTAAAGAAAAAAAAATAGAACAATATCAAATAATCTTATTGATAAATATTAAAAAGACTCTTTAAATAAAAAAAATAAAATAAAATGACAATATAAAGTAGATAAAAATTAAAATTAATATTGAATTATGTATCTTTCTTCTTTTGATTTTTTCGAAATTATGAATAATAAATAAAATTTTTATGTAAAAAAAGAAATAAATATTTTGAGAATTTTTATATTCAATTTAAGATTTTTAAACACTATAAAAATGTATAAGCAGTACAAAAATTTAGTAGAAAAAATTTAATTAGGATCAATAGATCATCATCCCTGATCATCCCCGTTCAATCTCCCATGTCAAGCGACGTTTAGGAGGATTACTACTAGAATGGGTGACCGCGCGCGCGGAAGGGAGAGCGAATGAATTTTCTCGAATAAGCGCGCTGCTGTTGTATGTTACATACACACAGGGTTGCGTTCGAAAACTTCACTCGGGTAGCACACCAGCGTCATTCTGTCCTTGTTCAATTTCTAGAAAGTAACAAAGATAGAACGGCTCGGTGTGCACCCGAGTAAAGTTTTCGAACGTAGCCTGAGGGCATATAGAAAAATTTAAGCAGTAGGCGAATTGACTATCTTAAGCTAAATTCAATTTGTTTACTGCTTAAATTTATCTATATGCCATGGCTCTTACAGCATGTGGAGAGAGGATGTGGTGGCAAAGCACAAAGTAAAAATCACGGCCACGTGCTGTTGAGCATCCCGAATATTTCCAAGTTTAACCGAAATTGTCGAGTTTGCTTGTTCGCTTCCCCCCTTGTCTACAGTAACAGCTTACAAATACGTTTGCATTATAGTTTGCATTATATTTTTGCACTTAAAAATAAAAGAATTTAATTAAAATAATATATTACAAAGAACACGTGGTCCGACAACACAATTGGATTTTAGTTTGTATATTCTCACGTGCAAAAGTAAAAGTTGAATTTAAACAATATGTATAATAAAAGTGTAACATAATAAAAATTTAACAAAATTCAAGGGATTAAGTTAATTGTCTTCTTGTAAAATTTAAAAAAATGTATATAATATAATCTAACAAAAAAAATCATTGCACACGTGCGACCACTGCATGAATGCATTTTTCTCTATTCATTTTCCTAATACGTTTAAAATATACACGAACTAAACAATAAAAAAACTTCACTTCTCTTACCTCTAGAATTCTAGAAGATGATTATCCAATTTTTCGTAAAAATATTGGTTGATATCGATATATTTTCACTACTCCACTTTAGCCCTTGCTAATTCTTTGCCAAGCTTAATGAAACTCCTGTACATACGTGAGATGCGGAAATGCTTGCCGTGGGATACATAAAGCTGCGTTTCCACTATACGCGTCGCGCGTCGCGTCATCTGTCGTTAACCAATCAAAACATTCCATTTTATTACATTACTTGTGACGGCATAGTTTTTAACAAATCAACTTGCAACGTTTCTGTAAGAGCAGAATTTTCGCATACGGTTTCTCTTGCGAATGAATTCAATAATCAAGCCCCAGTACTGAAAATCTATAGCACGATGTAAATATAAGATAAAATAATTTCACATAATGGCGATAGAGTAGTACTGAATCAGCCAATCAAATTTCGGCCATTCTGTAAAACAGCCAATATGGGCGCGTTTAGCAGACACAACTGTTGCACAACTGTTGAGTTCGTCTTATCAACACTCTGCATTGATTGGTTGATTCTAAAAGTAAGAGCCAATCACGTTCGACTGCTACTGAGCGGCTTGGCTGCTGAACGCGATCAATCTCGGCCATTTTGGCCGTACTAGGTTATATCGGTGCACTTCTCTTTAACTTTACATATATATAGGACTTTTAAATCAATGTGGTTAGGTGACCAATCTATTGACGATTATTCCTCGTTTTAACCATTCCGTATTCTGTGTTTTTCCGATACTGCAAGGTCTGCAAGTAGAGTTGCTTCGATATAAACGGTCGAAGCGAACATCTCTCATTATCAGGACGAAAATCGTCGTCGTCCAAAGATTATTGTCCTATGCAGTAAGTTATTTTTTGCTCTATTGTCTTGAATTATTTATGACAAGGGAGGAGGGAAGATCGACCTTCTTTAATATAATAAATGAACTAGTATTACAAAGGATATAAATTATTAAAAGTACAATTCAGTTTAACCATCTATTTTAAGACATCCTGCATGAAAGCAAATTTGAAATATGAAAAGATACTTTCATACCTACTTTCTTAAATCAGATTTCATTCTTCATTGACACCATGTGTTTATATTTTATTAGCAGCAAGGCATGTTTCGGATACCAAAGCCTACGATGCCTACGTCCACTGCAACGACAATTACAAAACGTCCCAAGCAGGCCCAAAGTTGCCACTACGCGTCCTATGAATGCACGCAACCCTGTCTGGAGGGATATTTGTATTGCTCTAAGCACATCCTCGAGGATTCTACCGCACCTTACAAACCGTGTGCTTTTATATACAATAGTAATGGAAGAAAGTGTCAGAATCCAGCCCCAAAATTAGACAGAAGAGATGTCTCGTAAGTATATCTTCTTGTGGTATCCAACAAGATTTCCAAAACTTTTTTTTTTCAAAAAAATTAATGCATTTATTTTTTGCAGGTACTGCAGTGAACATTCTAGGAAAGCGCAAATTGCTCGGATCAAATCGACGTCGAGGCGTTCTCTGCCAGAAACGCCTGAAATGCTGCTGCTTAATTTAAGTCATTATGTCAAGCCCACCGATTCTAGTGCTGAAGATACAGAAGAGGAAAGAGGAAAAGTGAAAGCTTTAGATCCTTTCAGTGAGTATTATCAAATTGTAATGTAACATGGTGCTCAATTTCACGTTTTCTATATTTCTATAAATATTATTCCACTAGAGATTGCATTTACTTTTGTTCTGAGCAGAGTACTTCTACTATGTAAATATTCGATGTAAGCTTAATGTAGAATTTAGAATCTACATTTTTATCCGTCTATCTGTAATTTTGCATGTCGACAAAAGTTACTGCAAATAGGAACATTCAAGTTATTGTTTTCAGCCGAAGTTGATGCTTACAGAGTAAATGCGAGTGGAAGTGACATCTTAGATTACGCCAGTTCTTCGGAGAGTGACGTTGAACCTACAGTTGTCACTGACACCCTGAGGGGAGTTTATCTCGACGATAGCGATAATGAGAGTTCACACAGTCCACAAGAGGATCCCCTGAAGTAAGTGTGCTCCATAACTCCATTGTGTATGTGTGTTAATTATTTAGAGAATTATCCTATATAGAATATCCGCTAGCATGCTTTAGCTTGTGCAACCCTTTACTTAAGGAAAATATTGTTATTCATTTTTTTTACTTGCATCTAACATTGGAATCTATTAGTATAGGCTGCAAATTTTAACGATTACTGTGATTTTTAATTAAAAGTTTGTGACTAATGCAATAATGTTAACGATATTTTTCTCTTTTAACTCTCAAAAATCATACAAACCTTTAAGGATATACACCTTATATTAAACAGAATGTTTTGCATTTGCAATTTTGGTTTTATTATTTTGACTGCAAATTTGCGCTAAATATTGTCTAGACCTTTATTCTCTTGTAGTTGCTTTGCGCAAAGATAAGATACTACATACTCCCCGAATTATTAGTATTAATTTTTTAAGGCATGCCGGCATCTTTACCGCAGAAGAGGTGATTTATATCGCGCGAGAAAAATTGATTAGACTGCAGTCTCTTTACATTGATCAATTTAGAAGACTTCAGTATGTGCTAAAGGAGAAAAGACGAAAATATTTGCTCGCTTTAAAGAAAGAAAAGGAAACATTATGTAAGTATACTTAAAATAACCTTGGATTTTTTTCCGATAGATAAATTACACGCAATCTGTAGGTAGCATACATAGTCAGAAAAAGGAAACTGCGAAAGAGAAAAAGCTTTACGAGAAACTGAAAGCTTTGAATCGCTATCACAGACGGAGTGGTGTCGAAGCGATACTTTACAGAAAGTCACTGGAACGTCGTGCACAGGTAATATCGTGAATACCATTTATATCATTAACGTTCGAATAATATATATCAGTTACTTTACAAAAAAAAATTATGCTTCAGGTAACCGAGCCTCTTCAAAAACCACCCAATGTATCCAAATGCGTGTTCACCGAAGGTGGCGTGAAATGTGGTGAAAGAACGCTTCCGTCGGCTAAGCATTGTCGTAAACATATCTTGAAGGTATGTTTATATTACTTTTTTATAAAAAAGATATGTAAATAATATCACGGATCTGCGAGTTCTCATTCTGTCGATTGACTGTTCACAGGACCAACATCAAGTTTTATTCAAAGCGTGCGGAGCGGTGCGAGCGGATATCGAATGTCACGAACCTGTGCCGGTGATTTTCGACTCTAACTGTGTATTTCACATGAACTTGCCGTTGCCGTGCAAATTAGAACCTATGAAGGTACGGTAGTGCTCTCCGATAATTAGTTGCAACCGATTATGAATGTTCCGTAACTTATATTTATCTATGCAGTTCGAAGAGGAGAAACCCGCAAAGCAAGAAACATCGTTGACCGACAGTCAATCGATGGAGATAGACGTGGTGGGTGAGGTGCAAGAAATTGATCCCGACGACGATATGGCGGGGCTGATGAGGGAAATGAACGATTCCGCTAATTTAAAACCTTCATTTGCGAATGAAAGTTTAAACAGTGAGACCAGCACGGACACGGCATTCAGTTTGTCTGCGCAGATGAGTGATCGGGATGATTTCGCTAATGTATGACCGAATATCTTCATATGATTTCCAAAATGGAGTAGCTTGGCTGTTATGTTGTCGTTGCGATTGAGTGTCACGGTATGCTCTCCGATATTCCGGAATCAGAATCGCAATTATCTAGTTTGGCTGCTGATATGTGCGTGTGTGTAATACGATTACATAAATGCACACGTACAGCGAACTTATCTTCATATGTAATACTATTTAAACTGAATTGTTAATATATTTGTATATAATTGCAGAAATAGACCACCTACAATTATATTAAGTCGCAAAATCTTGTTATCTAATTACTAATTTAGTATTATTTTCTTTCAACCAATAATAAGTATTGAGTCTTGAAGTTCCACATGCTCCCCTTGCATAACGCTGGAGATAGGTCTTTAATTCAGGGAATATATTACAGGAAACAAGACTGTTTCTATAATTTTATTATGAATATTTATTTAAATTAAAAAGCTACGAATTTTAGATTTTCTATTGGTGGGTTGTTTTAATCATTTTTATCACGCGAAACGCCCTTTCTAGTGCTATGAATATTTGAATATCCTAATATTTGAGATATTATCTCGGATATTATTTAGGTACCCAGTAAAATTATCATATCTGAATACCAATTTAAAAAATCAATATCATCCAGATTTTTTAAATAAAAAAATGCAACTTATTTCATCCACATCTTAAATAGCGTGATTCAAATATCAGTTGTGCATGAACAAAAATTGATTTTACAAAAACATAACGCTCTTTACATTTTTACATTTTCTATAAAAATAACCAAAATTGCACGCATGCGTTATTGGTTATATAAAGTCTGTTTTTTATAACTAAATTATTGTCTTAAAATGAAATAAGTGTATCTGAAATTTAGTGAAAGCGAAAAGGAAAATTTCAGTGTGTACTGTGTGTAGTAAAAAAAATATACCTATGATATTAATATTAATTACAAACATTCGTAAAAGAGGAACTTATACACATTGACGTATGAATGGAATTAAATTTTCGACAGAATAGCAATAATTTTTGAAAAGTCAATGTATCTTAGCAACATACAATTTCTTACATAGCTACAATTTTTCGCTACATTTAAATGCATTCCAATATGCACACATCATCATAACGATCATCATGAAATAAAAAGTGGCGACGTGAGAAAAATTAAAGTTCTTAGTATTTCAATACAGTGTATATAAAATCCTAAAATTATTACTATCATTATCGTTATCATTATAATTAATTATTAATATTATCGTTATTATTAATATTTGGCGAAAATAAACACTCGTGTATTATAAACATAAATACAAGTTTCAAATATTGTCATGTATGTATGATACTTCTAAGCCGTGTTGGTTCATTAGACAAATCTTTTTTGAGCACACCTTTTTCTTATTAAAAAAATATAACAAAACTTAAAAAAAAAATAACTCACATTCTTACCGTGATAGATCTATTTAAATTGTGAGAACATTACGACAATATTAAGAATCTCGTGATAATATAATTGTATATCTATAATAAAATATACATTGATTCGTAAGTAACTGTTATGCAAAATTATCACAAATTTGCTGCAAACTAACAATACTTAGATATACTCTTGTACCATTTCCAGCCAGTTGATAATCGGAAACATCGGATTAACCACCATGGTCATATTTATCATATCAATCTGTGTAGTGTGTAGAGCTTAGTACAAAATTAATCTTTCTTTCATAAAACAATACTGTACACGACACTCTGTTAATATCGTACATTTAACAGTAATGAATGTGAATTAATGGTAATATCGTTGACATGCGATTATTAACTTCGTGAAAGAAGAAAATTTGCTATTTGTTTCAAGATCGTTCAGTCTCTTAACGATTATTTACATAGCTACTAGACAATTCAATCCTCATTCATTAACTATGACGAAAAAATTAATTTGCTCATTCGATACGAGTATTTCTAAACTGATCTTATAGCGAATTCGGGCGCTTGCACTAGTGCACACTGAATGCGCACTAAGGCTTGTTCTTGATCAATTGTTATATTTACAGGTCATCTTAAATACTTCTTAGTCTATAAAATGATTTGTACAGCATCCATATAGATATTACAGATTACTTTATTGGCTAACAAGTTTTTAAATGTGTATTTAAGCGACTTGAAATATAAAATAGATTATAAACAAGCCTTAGTGCGCACTCAGTGTGCACCAGTGCAAGCGCCCGAATTCGCTATTGTTATTAGAAAAGGCATGGAAATATCTTTAGTATTGGTTCGAAAATAATTAACACAGTTTGCAATTCGATTGCTCGACAATTCGATTATTGGTACTCTGTCTAATAGAAATCCTATTCCTTCGGAATTCAACGCTTTCGTTCCTCTAAAGTACTTTTACCGGCAATCCTATCCTTTGGATATTGTCGCTTTATCTAAATTGCGATCTAACTTGCATTCCCATTACGTTCTTCCTTTTTCCAAATGTACAAAATAATTGCTTCAGAGAAAGGGGGGGAGAAAGAGAGAGAGCGCGCGCAACTTGCTTTCACTGCAATGTTAAGTGCTAAAAGAACTGCTAAGGATTGAGATTAAATTAAAAAAAAAAAGAGATACGACAATTTGAACGTAATAGGAAGCGGTTTCGTTTGTAACATCAATACAAGAGTAGTTTTTTTTATAAATCTAGTTATCGAAAATATGTTTAAGATCGTGCTCGTAGGCGGCGATAAGTAACATAATCCCGAGGCCTGTTGATAAACCTAAAGTTTGCCAAATGCACTGTAATCGTGAACCACTTTCTGCGGAATGACTCGATGTCAATTCTGGTACCTAAGAAGAAAGAGATAATTAGCGTTTCATTGATTTTCTTAGTTACTATAGATCTCTCATAGATATACCCACCATGTCTACTAATGCTATATATATAAATATTCCAGCGGCAACTGCGAATATCCAGCTAGTAGCGTCGGGAGCACTTCCTAACAATATTCCGCCTATCATACCCAACACACAGAGGACTGAAGATAATAAATTGTAAAAAACAGCCTGCTTGGTACTCATGCCCGCTTTTAACAGCACCGCAAAGTCACCTGTACAAGAACATTTATATTATTGCATTACTAACTATGCATACATATATGTTTATAGATATACCATCATTGATCGAGAGACAATACCGAGTTCGTGAGGTAACTCGTGACAGAGGACAGCGATAGCCGTGGAGAATCCACCTGCGATATTTGCCGAAAAAGCTGCCCCGATAGCCATACCGTCCGTAAAATTGTGCAGACCATCCCCCATTACAACCATCCAAGCTACGTTGGACATTGATTCGGGGGCCGAGTGTACGTGACCTGGAATCGAAACGTTCATGCTATTATACATTGCACATTGCGTAAGATTATAGTATTTATGTCTTATTTAAAACGCACCATGGGAATGACTATGGCCGTGATGTTTGGTCTCGTGTTCGCGCAGGATGACGGTATAGCTCTCAGATTCGTTTAACGATACGTCGGCGCCATCGGTACTTTTCTTAGCGTTTACGATCGAGTCGTCCATTCTCCAATCATCCTTCGGTTTTTTCTCCATGTCGTTGGTTACGATTTTCGTGACGGAATTACAATTGGATGTCAATGGTTTCTCCTCATCGATGATAGGTGGTCTCTCGTGATGGTTCAGTCGACGACTGTGATGATTATCTACATATATTTCGACATTCATTATTTGTACTCTTCAATACGCCGTCAGGATGAATACAATGACGTGATAAGCTGTTCTCTTTTGATCAAAACACAATGGTAACTCTGATATATGTAACACCTATTTCATTTGATTCAAAAAAAGGCTGTTACCTTGAGTTTCGCTGGCGATCTCGCCGTAACAATACGGGTACGAAGAGTATTTATGTTTACACAGCTTTTCACCGACAACATTGCTGTTTGGCCCATCGCTCTCCCTCATCACTCTCACGCGCGTAGGCAACTAACCATTTTTATTTCATCAGTTTATATAACAGTATGGAATAACGCGTTCACACAACAAAGCGTTCTTCTTTTAATTACCTTCTTCCTATGCTGCCAGTGCTTCCGCCATTCGGATATCACATTTAACGCCTTCTCAGTGAAGAAGAACGACACGAAGCCCATCATAGCGACTAATCCTTTCCACATGTTCATGCTATGTAAATTCACATGATCAATTGATAACGCGCTACTGTCGTCGTGATGATCATGTCCCTGATGTTCGTCGTGTTCATGATGATGAGGCGGCATCATCGCCTAAAGACGCAAAAGAGATTATTGTGATATTAAAATATTATTCTGCTATGGACGCATATAGTATATCTTGGTAAAATAAAAAAAAACACTTGCGTGTGGTAATAGATGGATAAAGGCATCACCGGTTAAAGTACCTACGGCCAGCGCAACTAGAAACTGTAGCACGTGATGGTAATAATTCTTTCCCATGATCGGAATTACTGCTACGCCGAGCAAACCGCTAAGACTAATTACGAAAATACTAATTGTTGAATATACCCAGACTGAAATAAGTAAAAGTGACAATTTTTTTTATTATCTCTCTTCAACGTGGCCTGACGTATTTTTAAAACAAGAGATTGATCAATGCGTTCTCTGTTTACATTCGTGTAATACCTTTCACAATATTGCGTGCCGAATCCTCCGAGGTATAAAATTTATCGACTGGCACGACGGGCTTGTAATTCTCGGGCACTCGTATACAGCCGTTTCTCTCCGAACTGGACTCGGCCACCAATTGGTACACAAGAACTGGACACACACGTTCGAAAAGCCAACTGGGCAATGTCGTCGCGTTACCGCTGGTAGCGTAATGCGTATCTTGGGCGACAGTGCTCAGTAACTCTAGGCTGTTTAAGCACTGAAATAAAAGTATACCAACGCGTTTATAGACTACAACTATTTCAAGGCAAAACTCTACTCTCTACACTCAAGATGAGCACTATTTTGATAAACAATGTGTATTACGTATTTATCTTACCCTTTCCTTGTTACTCTTACTATCTGTATCATGTGGGCCTTCACTTGGAAAATTCCTACTATCTGTAACATATAAAAAATTGGGCTTTCTCAATAACTTCACCAATCCTTTAACGTCCTGGCGATTGTTACACGTATTTATTTTTGTACGTACTTCTATCAGTGCCTTCCACATTTGATACATCAGTCAATAATCTTAGTAGACCCAATTTTCGAACAAGTTTCTCGAAACCCTCCATAGTTATACTCGTTCCATCACCGTAGGCCGAAAATAGCTTCTGCATGAAGTATCTCTCGTTCACATCTCTTTTTAATCTAGATTTACTAACAGTACGTGAATCTTTGCTAGATTGTGCAGACTTCCGCTTGACATCTGCCGCCAATTCCGTTTGAGCAAGACGCTCCAAAAGCTCCGCATCCCTCGAATTTACGGACACATCCGCGTCTCTAATTGACGGCTGCATATCCTGCGGGCTCCCGCCGCCCTTGAAGCTTTCCGTCATCTCCTTCTTATGATAAATATCAGTCGATGTCGCATCAGCAGTTGCCGAGATATTATTGTTATTACTATCAATGTGTCGCATACGAGATCTTGCAGCGTCGTGCTTATTGCTAGTAAAGTCATGCGGGCTGTATCTCTGTTGGTTCTTCGGATATGGATCTGTATCCTTGGATCTTATTATCGGCGACCAAAACGGTTGTCCCTGCGTGTCTGGACCCGTGTGATTTTTCGCGCTTGTCGAATTGTCCGATGTCACCGCCGACAAATTCGTATGCGCCGAGCAGGGTACGTGTGCGGCGCACAGGACGCACACCACGCATACGGTAACGATATGATGCGACATGGTGAGCCTCCTGAAAGCAGAGAGACATACGCTCATCAGAATGTACACCACGAACATTTTGTTTACCGATCTATAGGTACTGAAGGTTCGAACGCGCGCGTATCAACTGCATGAACTTGCTGGGAAACTAATTTTATATATTTGTTAATCGTACAGCGTAATAGCGCAGGAAGCAATTATCTGTACAAGTTCCATGATAATGTCGAGTATAACCAGATAGATAGTGCGACTCGAGCTCAAATAATAATAGTGATAACAGCATTCTAGTATTTCTAATGCCTCGTAGAGTATCTCCTGGCACTCTTATCACAAGTGACATCGTTTATTTTTTTTTCCGCAATTACCGGTAAATTATTGTGAAAGTAAGCATGATTAATTATCACGATTAACAGAGGCTCCAAGCTATTTTGCGCCGCACGACTTGTCTACTCACATGATGATCCCATTCAAGAGCCGCGATAGCTTCATCGCGGACTAGATGCTCTCGTGTGACAGCGTCTCGCAAACGTTAAAGTGTAACAAAGCATGTCTTTATAAACGACAACATTTATAAGACAGCACTCAAAACAAATTATTTAGAAAATTTAGCTTGACCTTCGCTTTCGATACGTTTGGGTGATTCGCATTAATAATAATCGGTGCGATAAAAATAAATTATTACAAGGCCGCGGTAAGAAGAAAAATGCAAGGAACATGTACAAGAATGGCGTGTAAAAAACACTTGAAAAAACTTTTTTTTCCAAGTGTTACTGTTCCTTTGAAATCACCGTGTGATCGGCAAGTGAACGAGCGCGCTATACTTGTTGAACAGATATCTGTCCATTTATTGATACAAGTAATCTGCAGCTAAGTCTGGACATAGGCCCATCCAGCCAGCCTCGCGACATCTTATGCAATGTGTGCCGCCTGACTCACTCCTCTGTTACGTGTATATATATACATATACATAACTCTAATCTATATTAAAAGCGTGCTCTCGTGCGCGCATCACAATAAAACTATGCAGCTGAACGCGGCTAAATATAAAATAACGATTAACTTCCCCATGAGATGACGAGCCGTTCGGCATTCAAGAGCGCGAAAGAGATTAAAATAAAGCTGATACGCGCTACGCGCGCACGTAATCGCGCGCGCGCCACGTACGTCCGGACGTGGCGTTTCTCGCACTACGTGTATCTGTAAAAGGACCGACCGACGACGTGGATTGTTCCGTCGGGACACATCCGAAAACGGCACGGCCTGGCTAGTCAATTAACGCTTCGTCCTACGCGCGAAGAGAATTCCATTCGGTCTCTCCGAGCCGCTGCTCTCGTTCCAACGTGACAAATGAGTTGATTTATTTACGGCAATTGTTTCCTCCTCCGTGTATACGCCAACGTTATCTCGGGAGTCCCGATTAAGAGAAGCGGCTCGAGAAGCTCCGCGCTCGAATCCATATGAGAAACGCGAGAGAAATTCGTCGGTTTATCTATGCGACTACGTTTACTCCTCGCGTGCATTTCCGACGTTATCTTGGGCTTCTCGGACTAGGAGACGGCGTGAAAAGTCCTGCGACCGAATCCACCTGAAAACGCGAGAGATCCGTCGGCTTATCTATGCGACTAGCGTTTACTCCTCGCGTGCGATGCATTCCGGCGTTATCTCGGGCTTCTCGACTAGGAGGCGGCGTGAAAAGCCCTGCGACCGCGAATCCACCTGAAAACGCGGGAGATTTCCAAGTATCAATCAGCATTGTGCGAACGAGAAATACAAGACTTTAGGGCCGATATCACAGTCTCCGATTAACGTGATCCTCCGATTACAAACTCACTCTGCATCTCTTTCTAACTGTCTAACTCCCCCTAGAAAGAGACGAAGAGTGAGTTTAATCGGAGGATCGCGTTACTCGGAGACGGTGATATCGGCCCTTACTCTATATAGTCGCTATAACGATTTCGGTTCTCACAAACTGCGGGCGATATCGCGCCGATAACGCGCGGCGAAAAATGAACCGACACCCGATCTCCCGGTATGCGCGCTTGTTCATTCATGTCTACGAGCGATTCGACACCGGCTGACTGGCATGCGGTGTCCGCTCTCGCGCCCTTTTTTTTCCCCTCCCTCGTCGAGCTACGCATATGCGATATTCGACGGACACGCGTACAAAGCGCGGGGCTGCCGCGTCATCGCGATCCTCGCGCGTTGGCGACACGCACGAGGCGGTCGAGGCACGCGTGCGATCGGTAAACAATGAAGCTAGACGCGGATCGACGCGAGATCTCTCGATCGGAGCGCCGGGCGCCGTTCCTCCTCGCCGCGCGGCTCCTGTTTCTTTTTTCTTTTGCTTCGCCAGGAGAGGAAAAAAGGGAGGACATATCGAAGGATTTCCTCGCAAGGAAGGGACCTTCGCGAACGCGGAAAAGCACGGCCGAGAATCACGGCCGGCGGCGCCGAAATAGTCGCGGCGTAGCCTCCGTCTCAAAAACTGTATTTTTAGCTGTCAAAAAAACAGGAGGTGGGAGACGGGGAGAAGAAAGAGAGGGAGAGAAGAGGACGAGGAATCAGCGGTGGCACGGGATACCACCTCGTCGCCGTCCTCCTCCTTCGCCTTCTCCACCTCCTTCCCTTCCTCGACGTACACCGTTCGACGCGGCGTCGACTGACAGAATTTAGAATTTAGGTTAGGAAGGCCAGGGCTTCCAGGCTCTCGCGGCGGGGTCGCCGGGGCGACCAGGCCGACCGGTACGCGCGCCGTCGCTCGATCGAGGCTGCCCGGCGGCCCCGCCGTTTGACGTTTGTCGACGTACGTCGGTGACGATCGCGAACGGCGACGGACGGCGAGCAGCAGCCAGCAGCAGCCGTCGTTGTGAATCGCCACCGAGGCACTCGCACTCTTCCTCTCTCTCGCTCTCTCTCACCCGGCTTGCGTGGTCCGCGCGTGCGACACGGAGGTGTCGCGTGGAGAGCCGTGCGTGGCCGGTGCGTGTGGCCTTCCCTTTCTTTCCCGCTTCCTTCCCTTCTCTTCCCTTCTCGTCTCGTCTCGTCTCTTCTCTTCTCGTCTCTTCTCTTCTCTTCTCCTCGCGCGACCGGCCGCCGTGCTTCTTCGCACTTCGCACCCTCCTTCTCTCTCTCTCTCCCTCTCCTTCCCCCCGTCTCCGTCCGTGCTCCGCAACGAACTGCGTCGCGCGCTCGCGAGCAACAAGTACGGCACGGCTCCCTACGCTCCGAACAGTCTGAACGTAGCGCAGGAAGATGACGGCGCGGCGCGAACGATGGACTTAGGTAGACTGGCGGCCCGCCGATCGCCCGACGGCGCGCCGTTCGCGCAACGCCGATGCTCCATGCTCCTCTGTCGCACGCACACGCACACGCACATTCGCGCGCGTAAGTATACATGTGTCACATATGCGTGTGTCACGCGTATATGTGTGAATATGTGTGAGGAGGACTGAAGAGGACGAGGAAGAGGAGGACCCCGACGGCGACTCCAGACTCCAGTCTCGCCGCGTAGGAATACGCGCTTTTCTCCCGATTTTAATTTAATAATCAATTGAAGAGGAAAATGCCATTTTACGGTCCATTTTTTAGCCTATAATAAATAAATTGTGTGAATTTTGTATACTTTTAAATTTAATATTTGGATTATGTATCTGATTATATATTAATTAAATTACTATATATATATATATATACTTATATATTTTTTGATACAGAAAATATTTTAGAACGAAGCTGATTAATCTTGACCCGCCTGCATTCTTAAAACTTGTATCCCAACTTCCATCCGTTTCGTAAATTCTTAATTCTCTGTCTCGAGTGGAACTTTTGTTGATCACCTCGTGGAATCTCGAGAGCCCTTGTATATTTAATGTAAAAGTATCATAAAAACCTCCCACAAAAAGAAGGTATAGGAACCTGTCGTCAAAATACGAATGTGCGTTATTCTCTCGGAATCACGTGGAGCCACGTCGGTTCGACTTTTTTCTCTAACTTTCCAATGTTTGTACAATAAAAAAATTAAATCAACAGCTTTCTCTCTCTCTCTCTCTCTCTCTCTCTCTCTCTCTCTCTCTCTCTCTCTCACGCGATTCTCTTTAATCGAGCGTGAAATCGGGTTCCAGTATCGACAACTGTCGTCTCGATGTAGGATTTAATTCGATTTTCGGCGAAGTCTCGCGGGCCAATGGGATCGCGTGATGGCGGCGAGGCCGACAAACGTCACCGGCTCGCATGCCAATCGTACTCCGCAATTAATCGCGATCAATCACAAACATATGCTCCGACGTTCAGAGCGAGTTCCTCTCCCCAGCCCCCCAGTCATCCCTTCCGCGCGGGCCACCCGGAAGACTGATCGATCTTGACATCGCGCACGAGTTCGTCGCCGGTATAAACGAGTACGCAATTTGCAACGCACGCGATTGTTGCTCCGAATTACTTAGACTGAGGGAGAATCAATTTTTCCCCCCTCGCTCATACAGATATTTCTAATATCCTAAAATGACCTGAAACAATACGGAGACGAACGCTAAAGAACGTTAAATTTTATCTGATAAGCTTCTCATCACGTAATTTGAACGCCCAAGTTTATCTGCAGTAAACTTTGATATACTATCTGAATACATATAATTTAAATACAGTAGACCACCGTGACACGAGGGATGCGTGTTATACGAATCACATTGTATAGATTATAAACACATGGATTATGTAATGCATATACGGAAATACATATTTATATAAAAAATGTTAAAGTAACAGTAAAATATTTTTTATTCTATTTCAGAACAAAATGTTAAAATTTTTCCGTCGTGTTGTATAAACCCGTTATAGGCTGTCTATCGTATAAATCTGACGTATAATTCGAGCAATCTTTTTAAATTGAATGCTCTCGTGCCGAGAAACGTTAAATCTCTCGTGTTAAAAGCCACCGACGAAATTAATCCTGGTAGATTAATTGACTGGACGTTCTATTGACCACGTTGGTGTATACGATATGCTGTTACCGAGTCGCGTGGTAACGAAAGTCCGAAATTATTGTCTGGAAAATTAGGTTTGGCCTTTTTTTTTGTCTAAACCCCCTTCGTTTCTCTCGCCCCAATCTCGTCTAATTGCTCATTGTTTTACTTCCAGGCGCAAAGAAACGTAAATTGCAGTTGCAAACGCCAATCCGGGCCCAATGTAAACCGCGCGGTGTCTGCGGTGGAAAATTGTAGGTCTTATCAAGGAAGGAAAAGTCGGTGAGCTCCCTCGTCTAATCATGCACTCTTATCTCACTCGAAATGAGTTTCAAGATATCGAGAAGAAAAATGACCCGTCGCTGCACACGCGTGTCCTGCACGCATTCCTGTCCGGCCTCAAGTTCTCGAAGGTTATACTTTTCGACAGATATAATACATGATGTAAATGTAATAATTTCATAAATAACTGTCAGACAAAGATGTAACCATTGTTTGTCATTGATTCAGGAGAAATCTCGAGTCGACACGGAAGAGGCGAGGAAGTATTTCGATCGGTGCCTTGATTTGCGCGGTATAAAAGTGACCCCGATTAAATTCTGATTAATTAATTTGGCGATCGATTTCATGGAATTGCAAACGTTCCAACTGTACAATTCGTTGTCCCTAATCTAATCTCGTTTTCCATATATTGAAACATTTAATAATTGTTCTATCCATGTAAATTAATATATGGATATCACTTGACGAATTCGTCGCCAATTAAATTAATCAGAATCATCCTTAAGCGATTAATTCATTAATTCAACCGGCGGAACAACAGTAGGCTTCATAACTATATAATTTATCGCTGTTAATCAAGCTTCCATAATTTTTCCCGTAATGAACAATAATTCCACGTTAGCAAACTACTACGAGTTTCATTTGATAATTAAGTTAATCGCTGATTAATTGAAGTATACAGTCGAAGTCCCTCTGTCAAGTTTATCTTGCGTAAGTTACGTTGTTAGTTACGTATGTGAAATCGTAAAGGGAGAAGGCGCGTGTATGAGCCGTACGCTTCTCGCTCGTGGCGCTTTTACGTGAGCGATCGGCTGCAGATTTTGAGGCAGAGCGTGGCGAGAGGCGCAGCGTCGTCGTCGTCGTCGTACGGGCACGATTGTCGTAGACATGCCGCACGTACTGCTGGGCGATTCGATCGCGGTGGAGCTGGAAGGTAACAACGTCTGGAAGTCCGCGCTTTCCAAATTGCCGTGCCGTTCCCGCGAGTCCCCCGCGCGCGCGAGGGGATCTTAACCTTGCGTCACCGTAAACAAAACGGCGCGTGGCCGTGTGGCCTCGCGCGGCCTCGCAGTCGAATTTCGTAAATGTCGTAAGAACGAGCCGCTCGTCCTTCGGGGCATCCCGCGTTACCTCGTCCCGTTTTCTCCCTCGCGCGTCGTAGCTTCTCATTTGTTAGTTTTTCACGTACGCGTACGCGAGTACTTATCGCGATTATGTAAGTGTTACGTTAGAGATGCGAGTGAAGCCACGCTTGTGTGCGCGACGCTGACGATTTGTATTTCTCTTGCCGCAGCTCAGGAACCATGGCCGCAACCGATTACCTTGTACCAGCCGTACGAGGTGGAGCAGATTCTGCTTCCCGACAACGCGAACTGCCTGGCGGTGCAGGCCTTCCTCAAGATGTGCCAGCTCGACTTTCAGATAGAGCCGAGGAAGAATGCGGAGTTCATGTCGCCGTCCGGTCGCGTGCCCTTCATCAAATGCGGCACGAAATTGATATCCGAGTTCGACGGTATAGTCGCGCACATAGGAAGCAAAGGGACAAGCCTGTCCGATCATCTGGACCCCGCCGGCAAGGTGGACATGAGGGCGTACCAGTCTCTCGTTAACAATGTATTTGTCAACGCGGAACTGTACATCTGCTGGGTGGATCCGGCGATTTTGAATGGGGTCACGAAGCAGAGGCACGGAAGCGTGTACCCTTGGCCGCTTAATCATTATTTGAACTGGCAGAAGAGACGAGAGGTCATAAAAAGGCTCAGCGTACTCGGCTGGTACAACAAGAGCTTAGACGAGGTCTTTGACGACGTGAAGAAGTGTTGCATAGCGTTATCGGAGAGGCTAGCGGACGAGGAATTTTTCTTTGGAAAAGAGTGAGTAGTTTTTGCAGTCATTTTCACCGATTTTTTATCGCTCTCGATTCAATCGTAACACTTACAAATTACAATCCTGTTCCATAAGGCCCACCGAAGTCGACGCCCTGGTGTATGGTCACGTTCGCACCCTCACGTCACCCTCCTTTCCCTCCAATGAAAAAGTTGCCGCCACGTTCTATCAGTTTCCCAAGCTTATCGAGCACATGTTCCGAGTTGAATACCGCTACTTTAGTTCCGGAGCACGAAACGAGATTGCGGAAGAGTTTGAAATAATCGAGTCATCCTCCAAGGATACTTTGTGGGACGGCTTTCGATCGCAGCCCGAATCGCTCCCTCCCCTTTCCGAACATTCCTTTACATTGTCGTTTTAAATTCACGAAATATGTGTAGCTTATTAAGTAAATATGTAACGATTTTATAAATATATATGCATATCGCCGAAATGTGGTGACATTAACACGAGTCTTTTCGCATGACTTTCGTACGTAGCAAACCCAACGAGTTGGACGCCCTGGTTTTTGGTCACATATTCACGATAATCACGACACCGCTGCTCGACAACAAGCTGGCTATGATCGTGCGGGGCCATCCGAAGCTCGTGAATCTCTGTAAACGCATCGAGATTAGGTATTTCCAGCGTACGGAGGATTAGATAGAACTCTACTCGGACTTCAGATACATCGAGTTGCGGTACACCGATTACGTTCATCGTAAATTGAAGTTCCTGTGCTTTGCCACCGACGCGACTAAGGACGACCATATAAAGGAAAATCTTTGCAACATCCAATAAATGACTCCCCGAATCAACGACGATCCGTCGTTGATAAAGGCAGTCATATTTTATTTTCCCTCGCCGCAGGATGGATATATCTGAAGTGCGAGTAACGTTGAAGCATGATATGTAGTACACTTTAATGTTTTAGACTGTTGTTATAAACATGAGATATATATATATTAAAGTTGATCATTCCATGATACTTACAGATAGTCTCTTTTAAATGCGTAATACTGCACATAACATTTTTCAGCTTTTTTTCTCCTCAAGCTATAGACAGTCAGACTAATGAAACGCTGGAGTTCAAGAATTAAGCCAATGATCCAACCGTGCAGAGGATATCGAATTAAAAGAGAACACGGCGATCTTTGTTTTAAATAAATTCAAACGTGATATCCCAATGTCGGGCGATAAAAACGTGCCGAGGCATATCGAAGCACGGTTTCGGAAGCTATCGATTAGGTATATAAAATCTCTCGTTTTCATCCAATGTACTGCCGATTGTCATATCAATGTTCACAGTGATATTTATATATGATCATTTTTACATATTTATAATTATTTTATTGAAGTATGTAGTTTTAATAGTATAATGTATAATTGTTAAGCGCGCCGTTAGATTAAAGTATGTCATCGATGTTGTACAGTAATGTAGATCAGGGAGAAACAATTTTCTAGTCAATACACCATTCTCCATTTTTGTCTGTTGCATGCAGATACGAGAGAGGTAATTTTCGATGTATACATCGTGTATATATGTAATGACTGCATGTAAAAAATTTGAATACATATTTTCTCTGAGTCTATGTTAATATCCAATAGGTTTCTTGTCTCCAGCGTTTCAGTTATCGTACCGTTGAAACGCAAATCAAGAAAAATCTGTCTATTTATGTTACATCCCTCATCATTTTATTAATATTATGTCTCTCGGGAGCTTTCCAGCAAGCGACACACAAGTATCATTTTATCTTTGTTACTCATTATCAAAAAAGAAAGATAGAACGATGCTTGTGTCGACCTATGTCGCTTGCTGAAAAGCTCCCTCATTCAGTTTAGTCTTTTATAACAAATAACAAACATTACAAAGCTGATTTATTGTACACGAAAAATAAAAAGCGCTGCATAAAAGCGCGACGTAGAAAGAAAATGTTTCAGGGTGATTGGCTATACGTGATCCAAATAATTTCACGAGTAACAATCGATTTGCTTTATTATTATAATGTGTTTGTGCATAATGTGAGTATAATCTTAAACTATGATAAACACTACGAGATGCAAGATTTCTGCGATGCCTTCTGTTACATTATGCTGCTAACTCTGATCCTTTTGATACTGAATTCGGTCTATGCTCCTTATACTAAGAATTATACACAGATTTATAATTAGCACATTAGCACATTAATCGTGTAATTATATAATTATATGATACGTATAATTATATAATTATTGACAGATAATTCTTAACATCTTCGTATATCTTTTCAAGAACTTTCAAGAATTGCAATCTTGATGTAGAGATTTAAAAAAATGGTTTAATAATAATAAGCGGTAATTTACAATTAGAGCGTGACAGAATGTAATGTCAGGGAGCAAAAAATAATAAAAAGATTTAAAAATTTCAAAAAAAAATTAAAAAATCTTATAATAATGTGATAAACAAATTGAGATCATATATTTCACGTACTGGTGAGACAGGAAAAAAATGATAAATCACCAATCACACAGATATTGCTCTTAAGCATTGTGTTACGATAATAAACTGTGAAATATTTTGTACGTAAGATACGAGTCCTATTATATACAGAGGTCATATAATCACGTCATGGAGAGACTTGGTATTCACTTGGAAGTATTAATAGAAACTATAAATCACAAGACTATTATGCTCACTGATATTCTCGACATTTGATTTTTTTTTAACTTGAGACTTCAAGCCTAAACGAGAATGCACCAACAAAATCGCACATGTGTGATGTATGCAGCATCTTTGTTCATATATACTTCTTTTTGCGAACAATGGATCAGAACAGTAATTCCAAAGATCTAGAAGTATTTAATTTCATCTCTATATACCAACAGGCATATTCATTTGTGAAACATTGTAAAGTATTATGTTATATAGCGGCTTATGCTACGCATCGCGGAATAACTATTATTTATCTATTTAGTATCATTAAGATATTTTGTATTTTCTTTTTTTTTGTCGGTTGCATGGTACTTTAGCAACCTTAAATTTTGTGTACGCTATTTAAATTAATCCGGCGGTAGAAAGCTGAATAGTCGGAACTGTTCTCTAATGCGCGGCCTTACGTCACCTCCCTGCGACAATTAAAAAATAAATGAATAACTGTATTCTTTATAACAGTCAATATATAGCGTATCACAGAGTGACAGGAACTTACCCAGTTTACCAGATTTTCCAAAAACGGTAATAACTTCATTAGCTCGTTATCCGAACGATCGGCAAACCAACTTTCTATAGGTATACCATTTTCTAACTGTAACACAAAGCACACATGATTTATTAAGTATATTATTGATCGTGTCACAGGTATACATATACATATAAATGATGAGCTACCAAGTTACCTGATATCCGAATGCTTGTGGACTGTTGTCGATAATCACGGTTTTAGATAAATCCCTGCCTAAGATGGACAAGTCTTTTATGTAATTTCCGTTAACGCAGACGCAGTGTTCCCTGAACAGGCGATACTTTATCAGCTTCCGCGTTGGATCCAGCAGATTCATCAGCTTGTTGGCGTACACCCGCTTGCTCGCCGTGAACAGGATCACCTCGTAGAGCGACGAGACGTGTTCGAGGAATTCGCGGAAGTACGGTCGTGTTCTAACGAATACCGTGTACGTTACGTCTTGAAAGACTACCGGGAAGCGGAAAGCTGCGTCAGATAGCTCTTGCAAGCTGCAGTGAACCAATGTCTCATCCTGCGAAAGAGCCATAGATAAACGTGGCGATTAGCTACTGCGCTCTTACGAGGATAGAAATGCCATAATTCTATCACCTAGAAAATCAATATAATATAGTATGACATAACACAACGTAAAGTAGCATAACGTAATATAACGGGGAGGATACAATATATTATACCAATTATGATGGCACTGTACATTTAAGATTATATTTTATTAATTTTCTAGATGATAGAATCTGAGTTATATATGTATGTTGATCGAGCATACCAAGTCCAGGACCAGACTGAATTCCGGACTGCTCCGTGTTTTGAGTGGTAGGGCCGGGCATCTCGCTCTCATCGCCGGGGTGAGGGGCGGCAAGTGCTTGATAAAGACGTAAGGATCGAACGGCTCCCAATCCTCCTGAACTTGAGTAACCATGTTCTCTACATCGCAAGATTCTACTATCTCCTCGCTACCCACCTCCATGTATTCAACCTCGTGATAACGACCGTCGACGTCCTCGGAATCATATTTGTCACTAAGATTGCCGTTCGTATCGGATGGATGATGTGGATTTATATTGTACATACTTGCTGGTATACTGTATTTTGTACTGGGATATCCAGCAGTTGTTTCATATTTTGTTGGGTCTGTTTCAATAGCATATTGATCTTTTGGGAGATCGCTGCGGTTTTCATTGTTATCGATTAGCGAATATCTTCCTCCGTTCGGGAAGTATTTGTCGGACGAGTTGTACGCGTTACGGACGTTGTATATTGACATTGAGTGCATCAGACTGTAGTATTCCGCAGACGTTTCGGGATGCGTATATAAGGAGGAGTAGTGTAACGATGATGGTAGTGTAGTATCTATGAGAAAAAAAAAGAGAGGAAAGGTAAAACATGGAAGTATAATTTGAAATTAGTTTGACTACTACAGGCGTATGTGATTTGCACGGGTACCGTTGTTCTTGCTTCCTTCATCATCGAGCAAGCACGTGAGATCTGACTGTGATCCTAAGGATACCGGAGACATTAGACACGTCAGCGAAGATACACTGGGTGTGGAAGATTTCAAGTCATGTACCGGCGGTATCATCGAACTACGCGAATCCGTATTCGTTACTGACGAGCAGAGAGGCAGAGTGGATGCACTGTTCCAGTTTTCCTTGGACTCCTCCGCGACTTTAGACGGCGACGCGTTTTTAGTGGTCTGCAAAATGCACGCGTTACATTGCACACGTGATAATTTGGGTATAACATGTTGTCTTTATCTTAGAGCAACTTACGATAACTGCGTCAATTGGGGGAGTACGATGCAAGGGAGTCGACGTAACCATCGAACGTTTTATGCATTTTCTTCGGCGAGGTCCTCTTTCCCGTCTAATAGGCGCGGATTTGGCAAAGTGTAAAACATTTTCTTTACAAGCCTACGAAAAAGTTGGAACTTGTTTAACAGATCCTAAATCCAGTTCATCATTCGAGCAAACATTTCTCACGCGTTTTGTTGATAGGGAAATGCAATGCAATAAGGAAATAAGGAAACGCAATGCGAAAGAAATGTTGCCTTAAACGTTATTTTCATAAATTAATACATTTATCTTACTTCTTTTAGAAAACTGGATGATCTGCGTCGCCACTGGCTTAATCGGCTGCATTTACTTGACGTTATTACTCGACTATTACTAATGTGTTGTACTTTTCTCGCTGTTGCAACCTGCGCTCGATGACCGGTTGCTTTTGACGCCGTTACACCGCTTAAACTTAAACGGCCACGCAATCTCCTGCTAATCCTCTCGCTTCTCAGCCACATTTCAACGAGGTTGTTAAGTGTCCTGGAACGGCACAATACCAATCTTGACGAAAATGTCTTTCACAGTCTCTGCTAGAGAAAGGTAACATAAACGTAAATAAAGCATATCAAGTGAATTTCTGTTTAATATTAAACATCAATTAAAATTACCTCACTTCTAAAAATCACCTCTTTTTTACGGAACTAAAATTACTTGTAAAAATACCTTCTCGAATTGTTAATTAATTTTTATCGCGATGCTCTCTCGAAATGACGGGACGGCGATGCGTGCACATGTCAGAAATCGTTATTTATTGACCGCGGAGCGATTTCGGAGCTGTCGCGAGTGCCGCGGTTACGCGGTAACTGGGGGGGGGGGAGCAACCGGAGCAAAACGGCGGAGTCGCGGGCCGCGAGGTGGTTTCAAGGGTTGTTGAGATCTTACGTGACGTTTCGCGCCGGGTGAAGATCGCGCGGGAAAGAAGTTCGATCGTTTCATAAAAAGGGGCGTTCCGGAGGCGTGCCTGTGTGCGTGAATGCACCCGCGCGCGCGCGCGCACACACACACACACGTAACCTACGCTGCTGCGTGTAGACGCACGTCCGTGTACAAACGCGCGACACATATATACACGCACACACATAACATACACAAGCAGCGAGCCATATATCGATTTACGGCCCACCGCCCGCACGTCGCGTCGCCGCGGTTTCGCCGGGGGGACGTCTCACGCCGGTTGACGCATTCTCAAAATCGGGCGAAGGGGGGTTGCTAGCCGTCACCCTTCGCGACGACTTTTTTTCAAAAGTGCGACGTGACGTTGCGTCGCACGACGCGATGACGGCGGCGGCGGCGGGATGAAATGGGAGGGGGAGCGGGGACGAGGGGAGGCATTACGGAGCACGGAGCGGAGGCGGTCGTGATGGGACACCTGAAAATCCGCGCGAAAATCGGCACAGCCGGGCCGTGACGCGGGCCGGCCGGAGGCCGGGGGTCGACCCGTGGTTGCTTACCATACTCCGCGGCGAGTCGTCGGCGGCCGGCGCGCTCGCACGCCGGCACGGAACGGACGTAACGCGGCCGCGGCTCACACACGCGTCTCATTCAAAATCCCCCGAGCGCGGCCCCCGTTCGCGTGCGCTCATCATCCCTCCGAAACTACACAACAAACATGGCGGACGGCGTCACCGTCGGCGTTAGCACTCGCGGCGTCAAGCGCGGCGCCGTCGGGTATGTGGGGACCTATGGGCGTCGTGATCCGCGGCAATTATTCCACGCGCATTTATCACCGCCGGCGCGATCACGGGACGGAGAGCGTGCGGCGCGATCCATTCGCCGGGTGGACGTCCCCGCGAGACGGCGTCGGGTTGTTTATTCGACCCGCGACGTACATCCGCTGAGCGCGCGGCACGCGCGAAGCGTCATCTGCCGTTTCCTGATGAGCGGCCACGCCGGCGCCGGCGCCGGGCGCGGGCGGTCG